ACAGTTTCGTGGGTTTACAAACCAATACTTCCCACCTAGCAGTTGCAGTGCACGCCATGGGTGCTGCGACTTCTTGTGCACATGTCGGCTAAGTAGAAGCTTGTCGCCTTCATAACCCTCCAGCTCTCACTGCCTAGCCCCGGAAAATAGTGATTGACGTGCCGCTGCAGTTGGGCAGGTGCATTCATCAGCCTAATGGCCATGCACGTACACCGTACTCTGCATTGGGTATGGAAGGCAGTCTGATGCCTGGCGTCAAGCTGTAGTGGGATATGCCCGGAAACGACGAACAATTCGACAACTTTGAAGCTGACGCATTTGTTGCGTCGGCGACTTCAAATAATGAGTAGACTGCTAAACCCTCAAAGCTGTCAAATTGTCAGTTGGCTCCGGGTACCGGAAACATGTTCTACGGCAATTTAGTTGAACAGCTTGAATTCGATGCGCGCTTCCCACCTGTCATTTTTCTTCACCAGAACTGGGTCGTCTCCAAACGCGCTAAACTTTGGTATTTTTGCAGTTCATCCGCTAGTCCACTGATTTTCTCTCCAAGATATTAGGGTGGCCTGCATCTCGGAATAAAACTTGGGACTGCTCCGACGGTGAGTTTGGTAAGCCGAATATGGTTTCCAGAGGGTGGCAGCGGGTAACCGGCCAGCTGGGTGTTCTCTTTGCTTTTGAATACTTTTGAGTACTTTTTCTTTAATCGCGAGGGCACTTGCTACTCCACTGGTGTTAATTTCATCGAATCCGCCCAAATTGCGGTTTTTATAAAATCGTCGCGAAGGAATGCATGCAGTCCTGCGAAGTTTCATGAAGCGCTTTGGCAGTGTGTAGGCGCCTCCTCGCTCATTTATCCTTGAGACGATGATTCCACTCAACATCTGTTGAGGGTGGAGCTTTTCGTGCTTACCGATGCACTCTCTTATCACTCCACAGCATTTTGATCTCCATCATCTCATTTGAAGTTCCCGTGAGCGCCATCCGCTGTGTCAGCTACAGCCTGCCTAGGGTTCTGCCGCGGTAGGGTGGCCCGAAGTAGAAGTACCGTGTTACAGTAATACCATCCAGTGGTGAGTTCGGCGCTCATTGCATGCTTGTAGTTTTACCGCTCCTCGTGCCCTGTCTGCCATCGGAGAGGCGTAGCAGCAGGGAATACGCCAACGAGCCCAGCGATAGTTTGCACAACCTAGCCGCAGCTTCAGATGCCAGATCCACTTCGCAGTGGACCCTTGGCCATTAATACGAACTTGGGCGAAATACCGTTGACTCGAGGCGAAGCTACATATTCGGCTGCTTCCTCTTTCACCCTCATCACTCCGTCGCTTGCCGTTGGTGGGCCAGGGCATCTCCTCGATGGCTTTGGCTGTTCCCGTGGCGGCGCTGCTTACTCTTGCTTCTCCAGTTCATTAGCGGTTTTCATTGGTATGCGACCTAGAATTGTGGCCTTGCCTTTTGCCCCAGATAGAGATTTGCCCGTCGGTACTTTCCTTCCGGGATTCTGAGAGCCGAACTCATTGGCGGCTGTCAGTTCTCGCTTTGCATCCTTTTCTAGCCGGGGGCAGCATTCACTGCCCGTATACCATGGAGAGCTGGCCGATTTTTAAACCTGCCGCCGTTTTGTTCATGCGTGACGGTGGAAGTGGCGTTGTGCCTCTTCTGATGCGGAAATGTTCCATCTCGTCGGCAAGTTTCACCCTGTGACTCCTTATTTTCCTCTTCGCCACCCAACCCGTTGCCAATTGCCTCTCTGTAGTGCCATGCCTGCTTTAAACCATTGTTTTAGAATTTCTGTTCATCAGGGCCGGATATCGTTCGATGTAGTGCTCTTTCAACAGCTCCCCAGTATAACGTTTTCCAGCTCTGCCACAGCCGTCTCCTGGGCGGACCAGGAAACATACTTACATTGCAGGGCATATCGGAAGGCTTCCCTAGCCAAGACACAACCGGCATTGTCGTGCCTCCCATTCTATCATGCAGGATGCCAGTAGCAGCTGTAGCTCTTTTGGTGCGTTTCGAAGATGGAAATTTAGCACCTGAAGCAAGCAGCTTCTGCATTGTCCCAGCATCGCAGTGCACCTCATCTCTGGAGGTTGGGTAGAGGGAGGCATCCTTCCTGGACTGCTTTTGCTGTAAAGACTGTTTCTGCTGGGTGAGAAGCAGAGACTGCGCCTGTACCATGACGACGAGGAACCCAGCCGTTGGTCTCTTCCAGACAGGAGGCCGTGTCCAGGTCAACCGGCGTTATGGGAAGGCAGAAGGGGGGCTTAAGTTTCATCGAAGACTTGTGGGGGAAAGCTTAAAGATTTCTTTGGTCTATATCTTTTGCACAGGGTCTTCGTTACTAATCAGTGCTATGCAATTGTACACCCTGTTCTAGGGTTTTTCGCACCTGCCCCGATGAGCCATCCTATGCTCATGAGGCTCCGGGATCTGAGCTGAGGACCATCGCGAGCTGTAGCACAGTCCAAGACTAACAAGGGACTTGCCAAAAAAGCAGCTGGTGACCCCCTCCACCCCCCAGATCTCTTGGACACAACGGCCCAAGGTCCTGCGACTGGTGGGTAGAGGAAGTGGCCCGTCAAAAATTTCTGCAGCGCGATAATCATGCTACCAGGCAACCCAGGAGCAGACACAGCCAAACCCCCTTCGCTATATACGCTAACCCTACACAGCCCCCTTTCAAGCAAGTAGAAATGCAGCTACCAGTTTCACATTTGAGATGCTCTCACCGCTGCTGGACGCGCGACTAACCAACTTCTGCTGCAACGCAGCACCATTTGGTGGCATAGCACCCCGCTATTAATGCGTGCACAGAAACAGAAGACTAATTGTCAAGCACTAGCTTGGCTGTCTCTATACAACCGTAGACACTGCAACCTGCGGGCAGGTAGCAGTGCACATCCAGCCTCAGACTGACCGTGCCCCAACGCGTCGCGTTCCACTCGGCTATGTCCAGAAGCGCACTAATCAGTGGCCAGTAGCACTAAATCTTAAAGCTTAAAACGTCTTACTGTCAATTATGGGGAAGGAGAGATCTCCACCACCCTTCCACTCACACACACCCGCACGGCTTCCGATGCTAGGCGGTGACCGGTGACCACACTCACCTTCCAACAAACGGTGACTCAGGGCGTCAAATTCCTCCAGCTAAGCAGGTCAACATGCGCCAAAGAGGCAAACCGATAGACTCGCAGAATCAGATTCATTGATATTTAGTGGTTTTGTCGCCGAAATCAGTGATACCCCGTGGGGATCGCTTGGAGGCAGGCGTGAAGCAATCACGCTCGCGTATCTGGTCCCAAGTTGATTAAACCAACAGAAAACGATGCAAAGTAGGCCTGGAGGGAAAACACAGATTACTGCGTTGCCAAACATAGCATCCGTCAACATTTTTGCCTCCCCGCGTACTTTTCACAGGTGGAAAGGTCTGCTCTCACACGTCGGAGCGTCGTACTGTTGGCGCTTGCCGCCTGCCCAACTACAGCTTTGGCTGCTAAGGGACCGGCGGAAGGAAATGCAGAAGCCACCCATGAGATTTCAGTAGTGCAGGCACAAGGCGGAGCCTTAGCACCTAAAGTCCCCATGACTGTCGCGGTGGCGCCAGTCGCCGCCGTCGGCCCAGCCTTGTTGGGTTCCTTCGGTTCGAACCGTGGGCAACGAGGTTCTCTAGGCAAATGTAAATGTAAACAAAATAGTATAGGGCGTGTTTTCGTCTCGCCCCGCTCCTCCAAATGATGCCATGCAGGGCAGGCGAGTTCGCCACCGTGCGTGCGGCGGCTGGGTTTCATAGAACGGCTTCAGTGTTGCCGAACAATTAATGCGTCGCACAGGTACATTTGTGGCCTTTGTCCACCGAAAAAAGCCCAATGAGCTTACTCTAGCTGGTTTGTAGAGCTTCGCATGGTGGCTGGAGCATTCCTGCGCTCGCGTGTCGGTAGAGAGCTCTACTGTATGCTCCGAGGAGTATTTTGCCTTCATAACGACTGCTGTTGCGGTAAGGCAATATTGGGCACTCATCGTGCAGCCTGTGATTTACCCCGCGGATAATCAAACTTGTTCAACTCTCCGACGGTCGAGCGTTCAATAGGCTTGTAAAAAGGAAGTCGTCCGGGAGACAATCGGAATGGCTGCAGGGAGTAACAAGACCCGCTGGATACGACTGACCTACATTGTCAGGATTTCCTGTCTGAACTGGAGAGTAGACACTCCAGGGTTTCGTATTCCACAGCATTGGACGGCGAATATTGTGCGGCTTACCGGCCGAGCATGCTTTCCTGTTCCCCAGTAATCCATGCGCAAATTGTCGCAGGGGACGGCGTTCACAGTTTTAGTATTTTCTTCGGTAATGGCTACGCCGTATTTTCGGCGGATATCCGCTTCCTTCCCGGCTGCCAACCGCGTCGCCCCGTTTCGATGAGCCCAGCGCATTTCCGTACAGCCTGACCGTAAGGTGACGCAGTGAAGGCTAGACCAATAAGGGGTGTGGCAGCTTGATTGGCCTCCAGGTAGTCCTGAACACCAATCAAGCTGCCGTTGTAGCCTCTGTGGGCAGGCATCAGGCTGCCCTGAAGCAGGCCATCACGGTTCCGCAACGTGACCTTCCGAGAGCATCTGCTAGGCGCGCAGTGCACAGAACACTTAATGCGAATACGTGTCCGGTGATTTGTCTTCGCATGCAGTTTAAGGCTGGGTACGACAATGCCCTATACAGTATTGCATGTATTGTACCTTAATGGAAAGCTAGCTCCCACATTAGCACTTGGAAGGAAACGTATGCAGCTCCGGCTAGTGCAGGGACCATGCGCGTTGAAACTCTATACCCGCTCACTCTTTTGACGGAGCGGAGAACTGGGACCCTTCCGTCTTCGTTAATTCGCAGCATTCCCGTTGTCGACAAAAAAACTTCTGGTTGTCGGCGGGCTGATTTGCCGCCTGTGTGCACGTTGAGTTGCATCTTGATGCGCAAGCAACTGAACAAGCAGCACTTGCCAGTTGTGTTACTGCAATAAAATGTCGACCGTCGGGCTCCTCCCGCGGGGTTTGATATCCGCCACCAGTAGCTGGTAACTCTTCCAAGGAAAAAATGGCGAGAAAGAAAGACTTGCCACTCCAGGACCCACCTGCGGCACTTGCACTAGCCAAGTACCAGACTTGAGGGGGGCTTGCAAAACCAAAATAACTTCGGGCACGTCTGCAGGAAAGCCAAGCTCCACCTCCAGAATAGTGGGCAGGAAGGGCCTACGGCGCACCTGCCAAATGCCTGCAACGGAAAAACTACTGCCTAGGGAATACTTGTGGGGGGTACTCAGTGTTGCGACACGGTCGATGGACAGTGACAAAGACAAGCACTTTCCACTACGGAGGGCCTCCCACGCGCGTAAAAATACTGTTGCTTCTTCAGAACCAGCAGCTCGCCTTATTGCCTCTGCTGCTACACCAGCTGCAGCAAAGCTTGAGTCCCTGCCACGCCCTCCGTCCTGTAGCTTGCCGCAGATGTCCCAGTCGCCTGCCACAGAAGCCTCTGTGAATTCTGGTACAGGTGAAGTCCACGAAGACAGGAAAGAAGGCACAAGGCGAGCTCGCAGCGCGGGCAGATGAATGCTGCAGCTACGTGCAGTTCCAGGTGAACGATGGTGTGTGCGAGCAGCCCCGAAGCCAAGAGGCAGTTCCAGCGGTGCTGGGACTGCTCCTTTAGAAGGACGCGGAGGCAGCGTTGCTAGAACCCCCTCTTTGCCCCCAAGACACAATATCGCTCCAAGAAGGGAAGCCTGCAGGAAGCTGGCACAGTATAAGACCGCCGTACCCACCGTCCTATGGGGCCCTAGGAATCCCATCTGTTTACAAATCGGAGTGGTGTAAAGATGAGATCTATACGAGCACAGTTGTGCACCGCCGTTCGAAGACGAGGTGAACACCGAAGTAGCCGCGGCATGCAAGGTACAACTGCTGTTCCATAAGAAAGCCTCCCCTACAAAACTACTTAGCTCTTAGAATTCATGATTTGCTCAGCGAATGCGATACTTGCGCATGGTGACAAGAAAAGTCGATACAAACGTTGGGAGGGTTCAGAAGAGCGCATGCGACGCTGCGCCAAGGCGGGGATAGGATGCGCCCAATGATACTGCAGAAAAACACTAAAAATAAACATTATGCCCTGTAACTAGAGAAAAGAAATGTGTTGAAACTTGCTCCTTGGGGATAGGGGCAACAGATCCGAAGCTGTCGCCCCCACACGGCACCGCCCTACTGCATCCGCCACCCGACTCCTTTTCCTTGCAACGTAGCTGTAAATTTTCATAAAGAAAGGGATTGTTTCGCAGCTGTAGGTGACTCGATACGCTTAATTGCTAATAACGGTAGCCAGCTGTTAACGGCCGGTTGCCTCGTTGTCTGCCTGCGTTCGCAAGGCAGCAGTGATGCGGCTGGCATGTCTTCCGCTGTTTCAATATGATCCACCTGGCAACATCAAGCTCTGCAGCAGCCGCGACACTACCTTAAGTTCTGTTGCACACTACCCTAACATGCCAAAAGCTGAGTATAGAAGCTTCACCGTCTAAACTCCAGGACAGTTCATGCAGCACCCGGAAGTTGCTATATTTCAGCTTAACGTGGAGTGGTGGTATCCCTATCTGAGCAGTATCCCCCCACTTTGAGCAAATGTTCTTTCCTCCAACCGGGCCTGGTAGGTTTCCCCTCAGCTCGGAAGAAGGGAACTAAACAATCTCCAGTGTCTACGCTAAAGCTGGGTTGCAGCAATAAATTAACTGCCCAACAAATAGCCTTCTGGGTAACTCTGCTACAGCAAATGCAACGGTCTCTTCTACTGCCACGGAACGGTGGTATGACTGAGCCAAATGCAGCTGCGTAAACATAAAACAGTGGGAGGTCGTCCATTCAAAATCGTAGGCTCTCCTGTTCGGCCAGCACCCCCACATGTTTATGTTGAAAAACAAAAGCTCCGGCCTGCCCAGTGGAGAAGCCCCCGAATGGCCCAACAGCTTCGTGAGGAGCTGAGTGCCATTATGCCCACTTTACGAACTTGTTTGCTGCCGCCTTGTCCCTTAGCTGGAGGCTTCGCCCGTCGATTCTGCAGTAGCCTGCGTGCTTCTTCTGTCGATTGATAGTCTGACGCTCCCTTCACCCACTTTAAATTCAAACACAGATTGGCCACTCCCTGCAAAAATACACAGTAGAGTCCACACAGTCGCGCCGCCGTAAGGCTCGCCGCACACAAAATAACGCAGCACTGTCTGAGTTCCTCGTATTTTCCACTTACCCGTCGAGCCCCCAAAAAACACCTTAAGAGCGTCAGAAATGTCATCACGTGTTTTATTCTTATCCTCTTCCGACATTTTTTTAATTGCGTCCCGTGAATCACCCTGAGAGCACATCATCAAACGCCGCTCAGCCGGGAGCATATATATCCGCAAGCAATGTGGTCAATTAGCATATAAGAACAGACGGCATATTGCAACGCACCGCATAGGTAACTTCAATGTAGCACAAGGTGGCGCCGGCGGATACAGTCATCTTGTCTGCGCGCAAGAAGAAAAAACAGCGAGCGCGATGTGTAACCGCCCCTTCTGCAGGCAAGCAACGAAGTTCCCCGTAATGCATGAAAGCATACATACCCGTACAACCCAAAACCTCGTCGGCGATTTTTGAAGGAGCATTCTGTACCAGAAAGCAGCAAGCAAACCACCCAAGAATGAGGAATGAGGAGCCCGATGACCGAGGAACCAACGAACCAAAGTCAATTGACTAATAGTCACGAAAATAAATAAACCACAGCAAGTCTTACCTCTTCATCTGTCTGAACCAACTTTGATCCCAATACCTTGATACCAAACACAACAATCGCGGCCAACAAGGCTGCGCCAACGGCAGCGCCAGCCAGAGTCCCAGGACTGACGCCCTTTCTGCCAGGGGCGGGTTCCGGCTGTTGAGGCTGCTCAGCGACCTCAAAACCCACTTCAGGAGATTCTGCAGGCCCCTCCGCAGCCAAAGCAGTGGCTGCACAGGCTGCAATAGCTAGGAGCGCAACGCCACGACGGGTGAGAGCGACCATCTTCAAGAAAAAAGTCTAACCAGTCCAGGGTTAAAAATGGGGTGAAACAGCGGAAGGAAGTAAAACGTAATGAAAAAAGCACTATCGTGCTGGTGGTGCTGTAGGTTACAAAGATTGCTAGGAGCATAAGGCATCCAGTAGTAGTCGTGTAGTAGCTCTGTAGCTGGATGCTCTGCACCTCCCCACGATCCCCACAAGCAAGCCATGGAAAGCAGCGGTATTTCTGCCTCTGCAACAATGGAAAGTGGGACTAAAAACAGTTTTTTACCAATCATGAGTTCTTGTAAATGACATTGGCTTCCGACCTGTTCACATGATTTTTTGCCCCCATCTTGACCCGCCCCTGCACGCCTCGACGCAGCCGATAGAGTTCCGTACGATTTGTTGGCACTGTTCTACAGTATTCGCTTTAAAAACTTACCTATTATTCATTAAATATGTATTTTATGGTTCATCTTAATCACACTGACTGCTTGGAACGAGCCTAATTTGGAAAATGTACACTACCACCGGGTGGCGTGAATCTTCCATAGCGCACGAGGATCATCATGAGCCGAACCTTGGGCGGAGTACTTGCAATGTGCTCCTAACTAGAAGTTTCATCTTCAACAGAAGTTTAGTGGAGTCATTGTCTCAAGGAAGAATGAGCGAGGAAGCGCCCACACACTGCCAAAGCGCTGCACGAAACTCCTCAGAAGGGTGTCGATTAACCTCGCGATGCTTCTATTAAAACCGCAGTTTGGGCGGATTCGATGAAATTAACACCAGTGGAGTAGCAAGTGCCCGCACGATTGGAAAACGAGTACTCAAAAGTATTCAATAGCAAAGAGAACACCCAGCTAACCGGCCACCCGCTACCACCCGCTGGAAACCATATTCGGTTTACCAAACTCACCGGAGCAGCTCCAAATTTTGTTCCGAGATGCAGGCAACCCCAATATCTTGGAGAGAAAATCAATGTACAAGCGGATGAACTGCAAGAAAAAACCAAAGTTCAGCGTGTTTGGAGACGACCCAGTTCTGGTGAAGAAAAATGACAGGTGGGAGGCGCGCATCGAATTCAAGTTGTTCAACTAAATTGCCGTAAAACGTGTTTCCGGTGCCCGGAGCCAACTGACAATTTGACAGCTTTGAGGGTATAGCAGTCTACTCATTATTTGAAGTCCCTGACGCAACAAATGCGTCAGCTTCAAAGTTGTCGAATTGTTCGTCGTTCCCGGGCATATCCCAGTATAGCTTGACGCCAGGCACCAGACTGCCTTCCATACCCAACGCAGAGTACGGTGTACGCGCATGGCCATTATGCTGATGCTTGCACCTGCCCAACTGCAGCGGCACGTCAATCACTATTTTCCGGGGCTAGGCAGCGAGAGCTGGAGGGTTATGATTGTAAACCCACAAGACTGTTTATTTTCCATGCAGATAGATAACTAGGGTTTCGCCTCTGCGGCGGGGGTGGAGCCAGAGCAAATAGAGGCCACTGAAAGGCTGCCGCTATCCCTTTGCATGCACAAACGGTCAAAAATTCCTTTGCCTCGCTATGAACTAGCGCAGCGTTATCCCAATATTTGTTCTCACCTCCACTCCTGCGACGGATCCAGTCAAGAAGGACAAGCAACTTCTTTGGAAAGACGGCAAAAACGAAAAAGCCAGAACCCTCGTCCAACACCTGAGATCGTCCCGAGTATACGCACACCCTGATTTTGGCTGGCCGATCTTCCCACCAACCGACGGCAGTTGTACAGCAGTAGGGGAGATGCCCTGGCACTAACAGGGCTCCGCAGTTGCTTTGTGCCTTTTGGCATAAATTCATGAATCGCCTCCTATCGGCCATAACATAACCACCGCGGAACACCCGCAGTCAGACGGTCACACTGAACGTACCAACAGCATGTTGGTTTGAGACTCTATAGCCAGAACATTCATCCAAGGGGCTTGATTTCTTCCACTGTGCGGGATGCGCTTATAATATATCATTGTACTCGTCGACCCGTTGCTCTTCGGTCCTCCACTCAACAAAACGCCGTTTTCTGACCCGAAATTTGAGTCCGCCCTGGAAAACCAGCCCCGTTCGCGCACAGCAACAGACTTCAGTGCACAGTCTCTTGTGCCATAGCTTAGAAATACACAAAGGCTCCTGGCGGGAAACTACGACACTTGCTTTTCTTCACCAACACTAACTCACCAGGGGTAAAAACCCCTGGTGAGTTAGTGTTGGTGGGTTCGTATGCTTTGCTGAACGCGCAGGAGGGACGCCTGCCACTGGGTAGCCGCTATTCGTTATTCGCTAGTTGGGTCAACGCGGTGGCTTACACTGCTGTAGAAGCTGGAGCAAGGCAAGCTGCAATTCAGGGAAGGCGGCCTGTCGTTACCAGACCCAGCCCCTTGACACGGGAAGTCAAGAACCAGAGAGCTCCCAATATGCCTCCGACCTTCCCTCCACTCTTCAGGCTTCCTTCGAACAGCGGTCCGAGAGCCTGGCTGTGCTGTGGAGAGGAGGCGGCCTCTCATGAGCTGAAACGCACCCTGCTGCAACTACTACTGCAAGGCAGCCCGACTTGCAGGCGCAGCGCACAGCCTAGCAACGTTTTTTACATACAACACTGTAGACTGATGAACAATTCATTGGCCCTCCGGAGCGAGGCTTCACGGGAGAACAAACACGCGTACCTTCACACACAGCACGCCACAAGCGATTCGTGTTGCATGCCCACCTCACGGAAATAAGTCATGTTCTCGATAGCTGGTCAACTGATACTTCAGTTTTCGAACTGTAGCGAAATATAAAATGCGTCGATTTCCTGCTACACAACGTTGCCTTCAAGACACGTAACACGTAAGCTCGAAAGCCACGGGGGAAGTCAATGGTGGATCGAATTCACCAGCATGTCGAATGCTAGCAGATACCTCCCCTTAGTTATTCTCGGTGTATAATTTGCATCACAAAATGAATAATAAGTAGTGTCAATCAAATACGGGAGCGCACACGTCGATGACAACCCGCGCACAGGAGTGCGGGGTCCGGCACTCGAGCCGATGGGAAATCACGTTCCGCCAACTCTTGTGTACGTTCACAAACAGATGAACACTTTCTGATTCGATAGCGCCATATTAGTCCATGCCTCTATCCAAATGACTTGAAATAGATGCATTCAACCGCTGGATGGCAGGCTAGTTGACCCACGACCTGTTGGGGCCGTGTCTGTCTATGGAGTACTCCGCGCGTTTTCTTCGCCTTAAGGACGTCTTGTTGAGGTCAGAGGCTCCAAAGTATAGACTGGAGCAGCTGATTCGCCAGCTTTATGGGGGAAAAGTGACCTCTGTCGCGGACCTAAAATCGCTAGGCACTCATGCCCAAAGAGCAATCGAGACAGAGTTTGGGCCCAACCTGCTAACCATAAAGCGAATTGCTACATCTGAAGCACCTAGGGCAACAAAGATACTCTTTGAATGCAAAGATGGGGTCAGGATAGAAGCTGTGGCTCTAAAGTTTGCCGCCCACACCTCCCTCTGCATATCTTCCCAGGTGGGCCGTCGTTCAGCATATTGCGTACCGTGGCTTCGTAGTAACTGAATGCATTGCAAGCAAATAAGAGCCACTGCCATAATCTCACAGTAATCTTACTTCTGCATATGCCAGAGAAGTGCTTCCTGGTGTCAGCGAGAGGCTATATGGTCGCCGGCTGCTCCGCTGCGCAAGACAGAAGGGGGCATCCGCTACCACAACTGTAGAGCTGCTACTTTCCCTGCAGGCCGGGTGCTCATTCAACTGCAGCTTCTGCGCCACAGGTAAGTGCGGCCCATCCCATTGCACTACTTTCAGCTGCTTGGCGAAGTTATGCCGCCTACGATGAACATGTTCATTCTAGACGAGAACAGCAATATCCAACTGACAGCAGTTCTTGGCTGCTTGCCGGAACAAGGTTTTCTTAACATGGTGGTGCCAGTCATAGCCAGGACGCCATTTGCCCTGTTGGGGATACTTGCTGCTTGTTGCGCCAAAGGGAAGATTGGCTTGAAACGCCAGCTGAGTGTAGACGAAATATCGGACCAGGTGCTTTACTTCCAGGCCAGTGGTGTACGAACTGATTCTGTATCTTTCATGGGTATGCAATATATATCAGGCGTCCAGACACAAAGCGACAGCAGCAGGGTACCCAAAGAGACTAGAGCCCTATAGCTTTTTAGTTTCCTAGAAGAACCCACATGCACGGATGCATAAGCGAACACTTTTGCACACATATGCATGGATGCACGCATTTACGGCCAGCTACTGTAGAGCGTCGAGCTATTGGCGCCACCACAATCCAACAGATAGGTTGCACTTTTCCGATGCAGCCTGCCTGTGTAACAAGTGCCAACGCACCGGAGAGGAAAGTTTATGCCGGCTCTTCAGGCATGGGGGAGCCCCTTGCAAACCCTCGCGTGTTTGACACTCTCAAATTACTTACGGACTCTAGGGCATTTGGCATGTCGGCACGGCGTTTGAGCATCTCCACTTCAGGAGTTCTCCCAGGCATTAAAAAGCTGAATCAGCAACATCCGCAGGTGAGGTGTATGCGTTATTATTACACCTAGGGTATTCATGAATGTTGCAGTGCGCTGGTTCTCGGAGGGGAGATGACTTGCAAACACACACTTTTCATATGCCGTGTCGGGTGAAGGCATCTGGCAGGGCCCCTTTCTCCGTTATGAGCAAAGACGACGCGCTCCGTAGTTCTTGCGCTGCGCAGGTCAACTTGGCATTTTCCTTGCATTCTCCGTTTCCGGAAGAACGCAATATTCTAGTGTGTCTTCACTGACTATATAGTTGGGATGCTGCTTATCTGAACTCGCTACGGATAAGCCTCCAGTTAATACTAAAGCGTCGTTACAGCTAGAATCAGTGACCGTATGACTGAGCTTTGGGCACATAGGCACCATCCCAGCTTTGTGTGAGTGCCGTAAGTGGAAATAGTCTCAAGAGGCTGGCTAGCCTGCGACGAGCAGACGAGACAGTAGATGGCATGCTTGACAGAGCGTCTCTGCGTTTTGGGTGTACGCTACAGGTACCAGCCAATCGCATGTATCCGTTCTCGGAAGTGTTTAGCCTCCTTGACGAACGCATTGCTTTGACAGGTCGCCGCGTATGGATTGCTTACTTGTTGCTTCAAGGCAAGTGCCAAGTCTGCTATCGACCAGTGTGTGCACTTCTCAGCTGTGCACAACCCTTCTGCCGTTTTGTTTTCGAAAGTGGGGCGTCTATTTCTACTTAGTTTAACCAGGATAGATGAGCGTTCTTAGAACCTAGCTCATAAGTGCCCAGAGCCCCTACTATAGTATCTGAGCCGCTCCTCGTACTGGCCTGCAGCTCTCGTGTTTTAGGAAGAGAGTGCGTTTCAGGTACCAACGACTCGATCGAGCACGCAAAGGCCCTTGCAGCGCTTATTCGGGATCGCCGACGAACAACAAGGCACCTGTATCACGTGTCACTAATAGAGTATAATGAGGGTAATCCTACCAACGCAGGGTACTTGCAGCAAGATCCCAACGACACTGCCTTCCCTGGCGCAGCAGGCTGTTCTAGTTCGTGAGCGCCCAGAGGCTATCACGGCAGCATGCTGGGTAATCTTCTGTGATGATGGATGCAGCGCAAGGTGTGCCACCGTCCCTACGGCGGGCGGACAGCAAAAGACTTCAGCAGTTCGAGGTATGCCCAGGCGCAGCGCAATCAGATGCGGTGATTCACTCACAGAAGGGGCTGGCACGAGCAAGAGCACTCCTTACATAGTACGCAAGCTCTTGCGTCGCATGCGTGCGTTCGCCATGTGCTTAGGAAGTACTTGATGACGCGTCCATTTCGCATTCACGAAGGTAAGCAATATAACAATTACGTTTGCACAGAACAACCACGCCTCACGACTCAGCAAACGAAATCGCGCAGAGCATACAAAAATAGCGTGCAAACTGGCACACCGGCTGACAGCCCAGCAGTAACAAGCGCAAGCGACCGACAGTCTGTTCATACCCGTCCACCGCAGTGTAGGCATGCTCAGGGCACTCTTGGCGCAGGGCTCCAACACGAACACAACACACACAAGCAAGCATCAAGCAGAGCTTGTGCTCCAGCCCATGCCTGACAGAAGGCATGAGGCAGGCTTGGCAGAGACACTCACACTCTCGTGAAGAAGTAGTAACTGCTGTTTATAGGGAGCTTTACTGTGTGTGTGGACAGAAATTACTTTGGGCGGAATATCGATGCTGCATGCGGGCAGCAGTTCGCAGGTGAGTTGTCACCTCTGGCCCGACGGACGTAGACGCAGAGCAAGCGCTTAATAAGAGGTGACGGCGATGGGGACGCGTTTCCGGCCGTGTCGGTATGCTGGGATTCCCCCCTTACGTATCACGGCACGGTGCTTCTCTGTTGTCACCCCGAATGCAGCATATAATCCGGAGCCCAAGCGACAAGCGCCTTGCCCACTGCCCGCTTCATAGGATGCATCGTCCAACCTGGAGAGAATGGAGTTTGCCCTCCCGCGAGCGGCTGCACATTTTGTAAATGTACAGCCGCCTGCCTAATGCGAATAGGAGGGAAATGCATGATCCCGCCGCCCTGGCTATTTTGACCTGACGCGCCGTATCGGCAAGAAAAACCCCCATGTAAACCAATCTCTGTGGGATCAGCTGACAAAAACAGGGGAGGATAAGTTGAATTTTATTTTCTTTTTTGCTTCTGAAGACATCCATGCATAACGTTTCCAACGAAAGTCTTTAGCAAGCACCGTATAATAGCCCCCACGGTCGAACTGGCGCGGGCGCCGGCAGATGGGCTGTGGGGTTAATGCAGATGCCACTTTGATAGACTATCCCTCCAAAAGTAACCCTGCTGAAAACAGATACAGCGACGCAACGAATACGAATCCCCACGGAGCAATAAGATCCATTTCCTAAATCTGTAGGACCCTCCTGCACAGCGGGCTTTGTCTCTAGGACAACAGGGAGCCAGCGAATGATTGATTTGCTGCCACAAAGGGTGCAGGCCGGCGCTACACCCCCTGTCGAGCCAACGTACCACGTCACATAACGGTGCAGGTTGACTTGCTACTCTTATCCTTTTTCGAATCAGGCGGCGGTGACTGCGTGCCCATGCCTGGCGGAGTAAGCGACTTATCAAGGTACAGCTCTTCGCCAGGTGTCTTCCCAAAACCTAGCACTTCTGCAAACCCACGGACCCAGTCTGACGCCTGCAGGGTCCAGCGATCTTGAGCATCCTGCAGCATGCGATAAACCGTATACAAACAACAACTTGACGATGCACACCCACTGCCTGCGAATCATGTTTCACCCCGCATTGCATCCTCTCTGATGCCAGCACAGTGACAGTTTACATTCTTCGCAAGAGGAACCTTATGGGTTCGCCGATGTATTCTGCTCCGTTTGCAGATTGCCCACTCTCGTGTTTACCGTATCAAGCTGCACAAAATGTGGCGGCGCCAATGAAGAAACCAAACGTTCTAACTGCTCTGCCGATCAAAAACGTACCACCAGATCTTTGAAGGGAGGCCGCTCTGCCGGGTTTATGGTCAGCATCCGACCCAGTAGTTTTGCAAGCTCTGAACAGAGCAAGAAGTTAACCCGCACTACAGGCATGGGCGCGCCAAGACAGCTCGAATATTTCCGTCTAGCATAACGTGTTTGACATATGCAGCCAATGATTGTTAATACCCCTCTAATCTAACTTGTGACGAGTGTTTTAACCCCCCAACACATCCAGACTGCTAAGAGATAAGACGGCGGCACGCCGGGGCTTCGAAAAAACAGTCTGGGGAAGGCTGATAAGCGTTGTGATGTGCTCGACTACCACTGAAAGTTTCCATACCTGGGGCTGCTGGTGATTCGTTGTTGTTTTGAAGCTTCTCCAGTGCTGCCGTTAACCGCTTGGGCTTGTCGCGATACGCCTACGCAAACGGGTAGGTCAGCAACAGCCTCGCACGTTTGTTCACATCCCATGCACAAACTCCATCGGAAACGATGAATCGACTATAGTAGAACAGAGAACGGCTCCATGTTCGAGATGCTTCGTCAACGTGGAAGCAGTGGAAGCTCTGTGAGCTATGCACACAGTCCAGTGCCCCAGCTGAAAGCTCTTCCGCATGTGGACAAGACGTCCAGGCTAAACAGCGGCATTAAAGTGAAGCAAAGAAGAGAAAAAGGCTCACCGGTACATTTTGTAGTGTGGCTAGCTGCAGCAAAACAAGGCCCAGACAGAACACGTCGTGCTTGTGAGGCGACAGGGCGTTCACGTACACAGCAGCTCGCTGTATCCGTCGTTCTGTCAGAGCATTGTAGTATTCGGGAGAGCAGTACGGTGGAACTGCAGCTAAGCCTTTGGCCACTTGCACAACCCAACGCTTGAATTCGCCTGAACCACCCCCAGCAGAATTAAATCAGCAACTAAGCAACAAGAAAGGGAGGAACTGCATCCCGCTAGGCGCGGTTACTCAATTCCGAAGGGATCTGCAGAGATTTGATGAAAGCAAATGGCACACTTGGGGGGATGAAGTCACCGATTAGGAGACGAAATCCATCATCGGAAACAAAAATGTTGAAGGGGTGGATGTTTCCATGATAAATGCCGTGGTGCTCCAAGAAAGCCATGCTGCAGAGCAATGCGGACACGCCTGTACACCTTTTCCGCTTTCCTGCATGACAGCCGTTCTATGTAGTGTGCCAGACGCTGTTACCTCAAATAGCTGGCACATCTATGAGCAGCACTACACTCCAAACACAAATGTACCAGGAAACGAGGGTCTTCGCGTTCGCCAACAAGAGGTCAGGCTTGTACGCGTACGTGTTTCTCTTCCCAGCCAACGCCTTCATGACTGCCCCCACGCTACCGTTCTGCATGAACGGCCTGAGAAGTGCAACGCGCACGGACATTTTTTGTTCAATTTGTTCGGTAGTATTGAACGGCTACAGGACGTCGCAGTGCGCCACAGCAACTCTGCGCGTAAACATCTGAAGGCGTGAGCAGGAGAGCAGCCTGCAGCGAATCCTTAAGGGGAAAAGCATCTCGTGTGGGTGGCAGCACGCACATACATAAGTAACCTCCACTCACGTGATGATGGCCGCCCCCGACATGCTCTTAGAACTGCTGTGCGTGCGGCTGATTGTGGAGGTGTGAACAACCGGAAGAAGCCCCACGTGTTCGAAGTTGAACTTTCCCCTTTCCACGATGTATCGCCAGCAGAACTTCATGAATACCTCAACATCCTTTACCAATGCCTTCGCCCCCGCGTCGTCATATGCCGCATCGCTGCGGTGAAAGGTGCGACCGTCTGCAGCAACGGCAACCCCAGGGTCCATCTGGCAAAATTCAGAAAAAGCACAGGATCCAGAAAAACACGGGACCCTGAAGGCGAGACTATGAGCAACTGACATTAGTGAGCTGCCGCCTTCGTGAACAACAATTCAAAAAGCGAACATTAACTGTCAATATGTATATAATATATATATATATATATATATGCGTCTGCTTGAAAAGATGCTGTCCCTTCTGCGCGGCAAAGTCTATCTGCGTCATACGTGCAGTCATACAGCAGAGGTCTCTACGTAAGCGCTATGCATAAATGCGGACAAGATGGGTGGCAGCATGCGTTTGTTAGTAAAGGTCTCGCGTGCATTAGGCTGCCAGTTGTACCAGCAGCCAAGTCGTGAAAAGCATAATGCGGCTTGTCTTTAAAGCCAGGCAGCAGATAGATGGCAGTCTTACCACTTTGGCGCAGTACACAGTTGGCACCTCACGGACCTTGGGCGCCACTTTTGGCGCTGCAACTTTTTTCCCTGAAGTTGCACAACATTCCCATGACAGCACATAGAGAGAAATGCCCTGGTTACAGGACTGCTGCTTAAACTATGCCTCTCTAAAGAGAACCCCAGCACATAAGCAGGTATGCCCCATCGGTCAATGACGCGACGCGGCTTATGATGCATATACCCTTCTTAGCTGCCTTCTTGGCCTCCTTTTCAAGGCGTTCCTTTTCTGCTGCTTGCACCGCTCGGGCCTCTAAGTGTGCCTGAACAAGCAGCTCGTGGTTGAAGTCCTCCCACGGCTTGTCGAGCCGGCGAAGCTGCACAAAGAGAACTCAAAACCTGTGGCCGACTATGGTACACAGTCCAACCAAATGCAGTCAAAGCGGAAGCCAGAGAAAAACAGGCCACCTGAAATACGAATGGCAAGCGCGGCAGGCGGCTTGCACCTAGCGTAAGATATGAATAGCAGCGGCAGCTACGGATCGCGTACAGAACTACAAGCAGAACTACACAAGGGAGAGCAGGAAGCAGCACGAATATACTGGCAAGTGAAGCTTGTCCATATATATCTGCACGTACATACCCTTTCATTTGCATTTGACATATTATATATGCATTCCTCCATTTGCATCTCACAAGGGGTCACCTACTACTTAAAAATCCATACAGCATTCAAGAAGACCCAAGTTTGCAGCACAAAAAGAACCCAGTTCCCAACATCTCTGGCCCTGAGATGAAAGCTGAGGCGCAGGTTAAGCAACATGAAGTAGCTGAAAGCGTGGCATCGGTGTCCCCCAAAACAGACGCGGCTTACGGAGATGGGGAGCTCGTGGCGTTCCCAAGTGAAGTTGAGGCTGCTGGACTCGAGTTCCTTGAGTTTCTCCTTGACCTGTGCAGCAGACAAGTCGGCGAACCACTGACGCTGCACACCCCTTACACCAGCTGTAACGCATTGTATCTATTCTTTTTCTCTGAAGCGGATATATAAGGCTTCTGAATACACGCCAAGCGCAAGATAAGGTATTAAGTAAGACGGCCGGATGAAGCCCTGGGTGTTTCTTTCTCGTCCTCTCACCTCATCAAGCTGATCTTCTATGTCCGTTTTAAGCTGCTGCCGCTCCTCCAAGAGTACTTCGGGGTCCTCCCTTCGCCACAGGCCGCAGCAGCCCACCACTTGTGTTTATTTGCGACTCGGTATTGCATTACAAACTTAGAAGCTGGCACTGACAACCCACCGACGCCAACCGCAGCCGTCAGAAGGAGCTGCATACATGGAAGAGAATGATGTACGAGTGCATGCGATGGCTATTTCTTCGGTCTATCGGTTTGCCTATCTACTCACCTGTCGTGCGGATCGAATCTCTCTGCGTAGTCCATCTCGTCGTCGTAGTGCTCATCTTCTTCAAATGCTTCCTCTCGATCTTCCTCCATGCGCTGTTGCGCCTGCTCAATGCCCATGTCCAGACGCGAGATGGCTTCTTCCAGCTTGGCCCTGCCAAAAGCAGCAGTAGCAGCAGCAGTAGCAGATTGAGCCGTGAGTTAAGGCGTGGAAGACAACCGTGCGTTCGGCTTCAGCCGGTGGCGTTCATTATTGATGGAAGAGGGGGGATTTGACTATATAATTGGAAAATATGTTCAAAGGCTAACAACTAATAACATGTTCCGCATGCATGCCCGCAGAACAGATGAGTACGTAAATATGCGTGCGCTATGCCCCTACTTCGTCTTCGACAGCTCTTCCTTCTGCGCATTTGCGTCGTTCTTTATTAGCCACGTCTCGCCGTGGGCAGCGCTTCCTGGGACGCATGCATCGCCTTCAAAGCAGTTTGAATTTAGAATTCTCTAGGATTGACTACGTCCACGGAGTTGTCTACTTAATCAAGTGGAAAGTTCATTGACGCTCCTAATTGTATCTAACTAAGAAAGTATCGAGCATGTAACTTAGAAAACAGCCACCGCCTCCAGGTGTTGGTGTAGTGAACGGCTGATGCGTATTGGTAAGTCATGCGGACAGCGATACAAACTCAACACCCCCGACTTGTCCTTTTGCCATTTAAAGGAAAGTTAGAGAAGGCGGGTGGAGGCACGTATCTCTTATGGTGTACATAACAGATGAAGTGTAATACTGCACCAACTCGTGCTTATGCGAAGCATGGAAGGACTGTAATCCACCGTAAATTAAAACCTAATAACTCTACAAGAGGTTGATAGGTTTAAGTATTCACATACTTGAATGCAAGGGTCGTACGTGCCCTGAAATACCACCTCTTAACCGTCCTCTCATTTATTAACAGCTGCAAGCCATGCAGCAGCTCACCTGGCATTCTCTGCAGCGCAACAAAACCCGGGGGCCATAAAATCTTCTCCCCCAGGACGCCATAGTTGGACGCCTGTAGATTCATCATCGTTCCACTGACACGCCTAGATCTAGGGTTTGATTTTATATCACTTATTGACCTGGGGAGGCCAAGCAGAGCAGCTGCAGCTGCTGGTTTTAGTCTTGAACGGCTTTATGTAGTTCTACAAAGCATCCTTGCTGCAACGAGGGAGTGCAGCTAACCCGCCTAAGTGAGAAGGACTGAGGAAATTGCAACGCAGAAGGACACTCTAGACAACTGATTAAACACCAAGAAAGCTGTACACCAAACGAAGTGTAGCTTCAAAGACGAATCATCCGGAACGCCTCAAGCTCGCCAGCATTCACTCCTCTCAATGCGGCGGATCGGAGGGTTCCTCCTGCTCTATTTGCCAGAGTTTTATGATTCTTGATTCAATAAACTCAAACAAAATGAAGAAAACCTTTCGAAATAAAGCGGTTGCAGCGAAGAGACGCTCGCCGACAACCGGCTAGAGGTCGAACTGAAACGATCGAATGAAGGCAGGATACCTTCTCGCCACTAGTTGAGGCGAGGGCAACATGCAACCGAAATTCAAATACATTCAAATTATTTACAGCAATATTATTTACAGCAATTTTGTTTATTAAAACGCAATTCAAATGTTTTCATGGAGTAGCTGCAAGAAAGCCGATGTGCCCATTGGTCTTACTCATCGGCTATTTGAAGCAACAGAATGCATGCACGCATGCAAAAAACGTTTGCCTCTTCGGTATATACACCTGTCAACAATTTTTCAAAAAGAAATTAAAATACTTATTTAAATTCCATTTTCACAAGCTTTTAACGAAATTTAACTGCTTTCGTCAAAGTCCGATGCCAGCTGGGGCGCGCTGCGCCCGATGCTGCTCTTCTGCTTCGCGATCTGCCGAAGCTGTTCCATGCAAGTCTCACTTATATATGTTGAATAATATAATTTTACGGATAAATAATATCACGAAAAGCATTCTGCAGCTTCTTCCTCCTTTCCAGCGGCGCCGATGGGCATACTAATGTTTTAATTGTCCTAACGTCAATTTCAAGCAAAGAAAGCAGCGCACATTTGAGGCAAATGAAGTATTATCATTTAGCTCCCACAGAAGGAGGGAGGATGTGAACAAGGCGTAAATACACATATACATATATATGCTTGTATTGAAACACACACACACACACACACACACACATGTATCCACGTATATAGTTCTCTCTGCAGTCTTGCGGTATACCATAATGCTTGGGGCAGTCTACCAGCCAGTTTTCAACCACCATCCAGAGCAACGCCTTTAGAAAAAAGAACTACAGTTTGCATTATAGGAACAAAAAGGGAGGAGGAGGCAGACTGCTCTCCGTTGTTGCTTTTCGTGCTTGGCATTTTCTTTCCGACATATGCTGCAGCTCTATTATCCAGTAAAGCCCCATAACTGAAGCGGTCGGGAACTCTCTTGTACGCATGCATGCAATAAAGTCCCATGTATGCATGAATGCATTCAGGCGACCTGTACGGGGCGCGTGGGTGGGGGGGTGGTGGGGAAGCACTTCGCACCTCGCACAGGAAGAAAGAGAATAGTGAAGTTACTGATGCCGAAAATGTGCGAAAACAGAGAGAAAAAGTAGCAGTGCGAAGGATGTAGAGACACTGAAGAGGGATGCATGCGGCAGTTTCACACGGGTGAGGAGTTCGTTTATGCTCTTAATTGTGCTGCATGAGAATACTACAAGAAGGGCATTTAAATTCAAGGACAGATCCGTTCACCAGCTGTTGCTGCCACATGCAGATAGCTCAATGTATCACAGCTGCAGCAGCAGCAGCAGCAGCGGCAGAGAGCAGCGACAGACACACTGTTTCGATCTGCAGCCCCCGTGCAAATAAAAGAAGTACACCCCAGCTCATCCTGCTGCAACGAGCTAGCTCTACATGATATTTGCACCAGCTGCCAGCAGCAGCCTTTCTGATACTGCAGCAGCAGCAGAAAAGTTTACATAAACCTTCCACCGCAGATGAAGCAGCCACGGCAGCACTATCGAGGTGGCCTCAGCCTACGGAAGTTCCCCGTTCGATAAGAATGAACTAATGCTAAAAAAAACTGGCACCTAACAGTCTTGATGCTGCTGCATTGCTTTTGCTGCTGTAGGTGTAGGTGAGTGCTGCGACGACTCCGCCGTAGATGCTGTTGATGCCCATTAGAGAAAACCAGGGCAATATAGCATCGGCAGCAGCACATTCATAACAGGACTTGGGTTTTCCCCCCAGCAGCAACAGCAACAGAAGCAGCAGCAACGCAGCGGCAGCAAAACTCAACACTCCTAGTCGGTGCGAGACGCAGCAGCACCACGTATCTACACGACATTCGGGAAGGCTGCCGCAGCTGCAGAATGTTCACTGCACCAACACTACACCCCCCGCTGTCTCTGAATAAAGGGAGCAACGAACTCAAAACCTCCACATACACCTCAACAACATCAGCAGCAGGAAACCCACAGCCAGGCCAAGGCTGTATTCTTTCCCCCGCGCCCCATGCTGCACAGTTTCTCTTAATGCTGAGGTCTACCTTCTTATTGTTAGGACTCTCTTTGCAGCATCTCTTCACTTCTAACGCTGTTTGTGTCTGCACTCTACTGCCCTGCCCTCATCATCGGGTGTCTGGACACCATAAAGGGCGAGAGTCCCCGAGGAAAGGCGACCCGAGAAGCTGCTGCTCGCGCTGCAGCAGAAGCTGTGTTGCAACAGCAGCAGCGACACAGCAGCAGCAGTTCATAAGCAGCAGGCAGTAGCAGCAGCTGCAGGAGTTGCAGCAGCTGCAGCAGCAGCTACCCTTGATTCCCCCCTGTGCCTCGCCCTTCGGCAGCAGCAGACGTGAGCTACGGGGGGTTGATTGCATCAAAGCTTGGGAGTTAGCTTTAAGGGGAGTTATTTAATGATGTTTCTGCTTTTAGGTGTGTGTACACCTGAGTGTTGCAGCTGTTGTTAAGAGGCGCACAAGATTCTTGAATATATTTTTGAAGAGGGGGGCCAGGCGGCCGCCCTGCGCGCTGAACCTACAGTTTGTATCGTGTGGCTATGACGGTGTATCTGAAAGGAATGAATAAATAAAGAGGAAATAAATAGGTGGCTGAGGGTCGAGCAGCAGCAGCAGCAGCAGCAGCTGCTGCTGCTGCTACTACCCCGGGAGCGGCAGCGAAACTGTGCACGGGGAGATGTGCCCTTCTGCAGCGGCGTCGTTAGTGAGAAGGTTTTTGTCTTTATAGGAAAATGGAAGACTGTGAATACATTTATTTTCAAAGAATACATCGAAGGGGGGAGGCGCGTAGTAGTATTAGTAGTCGTGCTGCTGCTGCTGCTGCTGCTGCTGTTGTTGTTGCATGCTGCACTCGGCGGGTGAGTGAACGGTGCAAGGGCCGCTGTGCTGTTTGAATACTGTCGCCCCTTCTCAAGTCCTTTAACGGATAATAAAAACCCTTCTTTCTTTGTTTCTGTCTCATCTCTGCCCTTGCAGCAGCAGCAGCAGCTCTCACTGCAGGTGCCTGGGCGCCGCAGCAGCAGCCTCTCTTGTTGCTCGTTTGATTTCCTTGCTCCTGAGAGCCTCTGCTGCTTCCTCAGTCAGCTGCTGTGCATATCTTCCAACAGGCCTCTTCTTTGGGGGCCCCTGAGGAGGGCTGCTGCTGCCTATACACCCCAAAACACCAGCAGAACTTCTCAAGCCCGCCGCCTGCTTACCAGCCCCTGCAGCAGCATCCATTCCTTCATCTGTCAGCCTTCCTTCCTTAGGTGCGTTCATTCTCTTCTTTCACGCACAGACAGAGGCCGGGGGCCCCCGGGGGCCCCCAGCCTTGGGGGGTTTCTCGAGGGCTGCTTAGCAAACGACGGCTGCAGCTTGTGGGGGTAAGAGGGGGGCTTCCTTCATAGAAAGATGCTCTGCCGCAGATGCATGCATTATATACAGGCGCCTTGGGTGCAGACAGCTGCTTGGCCGCAAAGCAGAAGCGGCAGAAGCAGCTGCAGCAGCTGCAGCAGCTGTTGCTGCATCTCCTGATGATGGATGGATGCTGCTGCAGACAGTCACACAAAGGACAGCTGCTGCTATCACGTGCTTGCTGCTGCTGCCGCTCAGTAGGCAGCTTGAACTGCAGCGGCAATGGCAGGGGCTGTAGCAACTGCAGCATCGGCGTTGCAACGGCAACAGCAGCAGCGGCGGCGGCAGCAGCAGCAGCAGCAGGAGCAGGGTAGCGGTGGCGGTGTTGGGGGGCCTTGGCTTTGTGTATCACTGACAACCGGTGTATCATTTGTTTTTGTTTGCGTGGCATGTGTATGCTGCATGTAATGACAAGACAAGGGGAGGCATGCACTGCTGCTGCTGCTGCTGCTGCTGCTGCTGCTGCTGTGGTGTATGTACAGGAAACCATGCGAGTGGCTGCCTGCCTCAGCGACAACTTTCTGCTTTCTCTTTCCTCTCTCCCCGAGACACAGAGACAATTCATCATTGCCATCTCCACTTGCAAAGATGAGGACCTTCTGGGCCACCTCAGGCCCTTCAAGGTTAGGGTTTAGGGTTTAGGGTTTAGGGTTTAGGGTTTAGGGTTTGGGGTCTTCCTGTCTGCCCTGTAGCCTCTTTGTCTGGAGAGCTGCCGAGCCGCTGCCTGAGCACGCCGTGCTCAACAAATCCCAGGATTCATCTCAGAAATGAAGCCCAAGGGTTTATGGTTTAGGGTTCAGGGTTTAGGGTTGAGGGTTTAGGTTTTAGGGTTTGGCGTTCAGGGTTGGATGTGGGAGCGGCAAGGGGACGTCTCTGCCTGGGCTCCGGCCCTAAATCGCTTCGATGATTTGCTCAATGCCTACGCTGTACACACGGGGCTCCTTCCAGAGGCCTGCCCCCCTGGTATGCCAAACCCTAAACCCTATCCCCTAAACCCTAAACCCTAGGAGCGAGACGGGGCAAGAGAAGGTTGCTGCAGGAAGGCTTGAGGTTGTCAGCGCGGGAGACAGCACCGCAAGCTGTTTATTACCTTCCCCTGTTTTGTAGCATAGACCATCCTAGAGCCTAAGCCCTAAACCCAAAACCCTAAACCCTAATCGCTCGCGCTGTCTGCAGAGGCTCCCCCCGCCTTTGTTCCGTGTGAAGCGCTGGTCGTGGCGATCCTTGAGACCTCCTACATCGTGCTGGAAAACTGCTCCTCCAAGGCAAGCTTTAGGGTGTAGGGTTTAGGGTTTAGGGTTTAGGGTTTAGGGTTGGGGTTTACTGGGGGCGTCTCGATTGCAGCGTGGCAGATATGTGGCGGTTTAAGGGGTTGCGTTGAGTGTCCTGTGCGGCTGTGCTGCTTTTGAATTAGGGTTTAGGGTTTAGGGTTTAGGGTTTGAGCGTGCTGAGGGTGTGGGTTCGTCTGTTGGCTGGGTGTCTAGGGTTTAAGGTTTAGGGTTTAGGGTTTAGGGTGTATACGCATGCAGTTTTTGTACGCCTCTGTGGAGGTGGTGACGGCGCTGCTGCAATCATTTTGTCTGCCGATCGTATGCGGAGCCATTCAGCTTCTGGCTGTCTGCTACGGCTTCATCAGACGGTAACCCTAGACCCTAAACCCTAAACCCTAAACCCTAAACTCTAAATCCTGAACCCTGAACCCTAAGCGCTATGGCAGCAAACCCTAAACCCTAGGAGCTGCAAACCCTAAACCGCGATTCCTGTGTCCACGGGGTCTGGCTGTGCACCCAACGCTTGTTTGTCTCCTGCAACAGCAGCAGAAGCTGCTGCTGCTGCTGCTGTTGCTGTTGCATGCGTTGCTTGGGAGGTGAGCGTATTGGCGTTGTTTTGCTGCTTTGTTTGTTTTTTCCGCATGCAGCAACCGCAGAAGTACTTTGCCGAAGGACTGCCCTGACTTTAGCAGTCGGCTGTCTCTCTTTTGCTTCAGACCAGTGGCGTATGATGCCTTTGTGCTGCAGCAGCAGCCGCAGCTGGTCGCAGCCAGAGCAGCAAGACACTCTCCTTCTCCCCCTCCCCGCAGCACCAACAGCAGCAGAAGCAGCAGCGGCAGCAGCAGCGGCAGCAGCAGCAGCAGCAGCAGCAGCAGAGTAGATGGGGGAAGCGGAGTTGGTGACAGCTCAGGCATGGTCGTTGAAGGCACTGCAGATGCAGCAGCAGCAACAGCAGCAGCAGCACCTGCAGCAGCAGCAGCAACAGGAGGGAGAAGCAAAACAACAGCAAACCGGCTCGACCTCCTCTCGTTTTGTCTGGCTGACGAACTACCAGAAGACATCGATGGCTTCTTTGAGTTGCAGTGGAATGCTGCTGCTGAAGCTGCAGCAGATAGCAGCAGCAGCAGCGGCGGCGGCGGCGACGCTATGATGGTAGACAACGCAGGAGTAGGCGCCTGCAGCAGTAGGGGACAGCAGCAGCAGCAGCAGCAGCAGCCGCATGCAGTGAGAACTCTAAGGCTGTACTGCTCCGAATTGCTGCTGCCCGGGTATTCTCGCCGCACAGTTACGCATCCTGATGGTAGCGCCTCTTCCTGCTGCAGCAGCACTGCTGCTGCACCTTCGCGCTGCAGCAGCAGCAGCAGCACGGCAGCCGACTGCTGCAGCAGCTCCAGCAGGGACTGCACGGCGTGTGCGGCGCTTGAGGCTCATTGCAAAGCCATCATTCGCAAATACAATATACCCCCGCAACACCATCCGGTAGGGTTTAGGGTTTAGGGTTTAGGGTTTGGGGTGCTGGGTTGTGCTGGGAAGGGGGGGATGCATTGACGGACACCAAGTTAGCAGCAGCAGCAGCAGTTTTTGCTGCTGCTGGTGCTGGTGCTGGTGCTGCAACAGTTGCTCTAGTTGCTGTTGGGTTCTTCTTGCTGCTGCTTGTGGAGCTACCCCTTATGGCGCTGCTGCTGCTGCTGCTGTTGTTGTTGTTGCTGTTGCGTCTCAGGCTGTGCGGCACCGGATGCGTTTGCTGCACGGACTGCGGTGTCCTGCATACCGAGGGGGTTTGGTTGATGTTTACTTGTGCTCGTTGTCTTGCTTTATGATTGTTTCTCCTACTCAGTTTGCTCAGATGCTGCAGCAGCAGCCGCTGCTGCTGCCGGAGTTTGCTGCGCTGCTGCGCCACGGGGAGCGCATCGGCTCCCGCACCTTGCTGCTGGCTGCAGACCTTCTCTCTCTCCTTCTCGTCAGACCCACACCCTTAAGCCATCGAAACAGTAGCAATTGAAGCAGCAGCAGCAGTTGCAGCAGCAGTTGCAACAGCAGGGTCAGAGAGCGCAGAGAGCGCTTTGACTCTGGGAGGGAGTGGAAGGGTTTCACGGGCGTGTCTCACTATGTTGAGCTGAGGGTTTAGGCTTTAGGGTTTAGGGTTTAGGGTTTAGGGTTTAGGGTTGTTTGTTGCTTCTCAGGAAGACAAGGCGCTGTACAGACAGACAGCAGGGCTAGTTGGCGTGTTTTCTCCTTATGGGTTATTTTTGTCTCTGCTGCGGCGGCTGCTGTCTAATCCTTTTACTGAGCGTCCCTTTCGGGTGTCTCGTATCCACACAGCAGCAAGTAGGAGCAGCAGCAGCAGCAGCAGCGGCAGCAGTGGAAGCAGCAGCAGCAGCAGCAGCAGCAGCAGCAGCAGCAGTAGCAGTAGTGACAGCAGCAACGGGAGCAGCAGCAGCAAGAGCGGCTGCTGCTGCTGCCAGCAGCAGCAACAGCAGCAGCAGCAGCCTGTGATAGAGTACGTTGTGGTGGAGGCCCCTGATGAAGCAGCGCTGCGCTCCTGGGAGCAGCGCGTCGCGCAGAAGGGGGCCCTGCAGCAGCTGGAGAAGGATTTGAACCGCATGCAGACCCTCATGCATTTGTTAGCAGCATACTCAGCTATTGTCGGCACCACACACAGCGTCATACACGCCTTCGTCCAACCAAGTACGTACAACAATTTAGGGTTTAGGGTTTAGGGTTTAGGGTTTAGGGCTTCGGGGGCGAGGGTTTTGGGTTTACCCTGGGGGAATCAGGAGGTAGGTCCACTTGGGGTTAAGGACGGAGGGTTTAGGGTTTTGCTTTTGCTCAGTAGGGTTTAGGGTTTAGGGTTTAGGGTTTGTGGGGCCTCTGGGGTATGCACGGGGCGATCGCAGGTTTATGGTTTGCGTTCGTTATCCAGCGTCAGGGTTTAAGCTTAGTGAGGGTTTAGGGTTTAGGGTTTAGGGTTTAGGGTTTGGTGTTTCTCTTCAGGTTTGTTGCGCGCTTTGATTGGTTTCTTGCGTCACCGCGACCCGCTGCTGGTGCCGGTGCAGATGATAGTACTGCGCGCTCTGGAGGCGCATGTGGAGCAGCAGCACAGCAGCAGCAGCAGCAGCAGCAGCCAGCTGCTGCAGTTCATTCAGGAGGAGCTTCAGCTTCCAGAGAGACTCCAAGAGCGCATGCTGTATGATGCTGCCTGCATGCAGCAACGTGTTAAAGACATGCAACAGTACGAGCGCTGGGTGGGCTGCTGCTGCTGCTGCTGCAGCCGCTGCAGCAACAGGCGCGCCAACGGCAACACCAGCAGCAGCAGCAGCAGCAGTGCTGGCAGCAGCGAGCTCGCCGTAGACGGGGAAAAGAAACCTGGGTCATCTTCCAACAGCAGCAGCACCTGCGGCTGCAGCTGCAGCAGCAGCAGCAGCAGCAGCAAGAGCTGCTGCTGCTCGGGTTGCTGCGCACCCAACTCTGGCATTGATTGGACCGAGCGTTGGGTGTACCCAGCAAATGTGCGTCTGCTAATATTTATTTGCTTTTCTCTCCCTCTCGTCTGCCTCTCTCTTGTTGCTGTCTTTGCTGCTGTCGGTTGCTCTGTCTTTGTATGCTGCTGCATCTCCTCTCGCCACTGGTGCTGCTGTGGCTGCTGCTGCCGCTGCTGCTTCTGCTGCTGCTGCTTCGCGTTTGCTGCTGCTGCACAGCAGCTGCTGCGCTTGTGGCTTTGTCTGCTGCATTTGGTGTTGGCGCTGCCTTTCGTTTGCTGCTGCAGTTGCTCGCTAGGCGCGTCTTTCGCTTTAGCATGTGCTGCTGCTGCTGCTGCTGTTGCTGCTGCTGCTGCTGCAGGGAAGCGATGATGAGAGGCTGTTGTACTGGCTGAAGGCCTGCGAAGTGGAGACAAGACGCTGCGTCTTAAAGACAGCAACAAAGCAGTTTTATTTCTTAGCAGCAAACCACAAGGCACACCCCCCTTTCTTGCAAGATATGCTGTCTCCAAGGGCTCCGCTTGCTGTCCTTTGTGCAGATATCATTGGGAACCCTGAACAGTACGTAACTCAGTCTGCTGCTGCTGCTGCTGCTGCACCTGTTGGTGCTGCACTTGCTGCTGCTGCTGCGTTTTTGCTGCACCTGTTGCTGCTACTGCTGATCCACCTGCTGCTGCTGCTGCTGCTGCACTTGCTGCTGGTACTGCTGCCGTAGCTGCTGCTGCTGTTGCTTTTGCTGCTGGTGCTGCTGCTGCTCAATGTGATTACTGGTGCTGCTGTGTTTGCTGGCGGTGGTGGTGGTGGTGCTGGTGCTGCGCAGTTCGCTGCAGCAGCGGATGTTGGGTTTATATCTCAGGGCGGGGTGTTTGCGCGCTGCTGCTGCTGTCAGGATGTTGAGTTTAGGGTTTAGGGTTTAGGGTTTAGGGTTTGTGTGTGTTGCCTATAGCTTTGGAGTCGGCTGCGTTGCGTCTTTCTTGTCGGTTATTACGGATGCTGTCTCTGATGCTCCCCGACATGCAGCAGCACTTGTGCAGCTGCCTGTTGTTGCTTTGCTGCTGAGCAGCGTGCATGCGTCTTACCTGCGGCTCTGTCTGCAGCAGCACCAGCAGCAGCAGCAGCAGAAGCGCCAGCAGCAGCAGCAAGATGGGGAAGAGCAGCAGAGCAACAGCCCCTACCGCTACTTGCACCAGCAGCCGCTGCAGCTGCTGGGGCAGCAGCAGCAGCAGCTGCAGCAGCAGCAGCAGCAGGACATGGGGTTGCTGCTGCGGAGGCAACAGCTGGCGCAGCAGTGTGTGCTGCTGCATGAGGGGTGCCTGAATGCTTTAGGGGGTTTTATTACCTCTCTGGCTTCTCACACCTCTGGGCTGAAGGCTCTTCGTCAAGATAAAGTAAACGAAATGGTGGAAGAAGAGCTGCAAAAACTGCAGCCGCAGCAGCAGCAACGGCAGCAGCAGCAGCAGCAACAGGGGGAGGCAGGCGCGGCGGCGGAGGACGCGCAAACAGGACAGTCGGAGCAGCAGCAGCAGCAGGAACCACAGCAGAGACCTGCTGCAGCAACAAACGATGCTGCTGCCAGAGATGTAGCGGAAGATGCAGCAGAATCAGCTACAGGCGCTGCAGCAGGTGAAGCAACAGGTGCAGCAGCAGCAGCAGCAAACGCAGCAGCCACTAGTGCTGAAGAGTCGAGCGGGTCTGCAGAACCGGCAGCAGCGGGAGCAGCACAGAGCGCTGCAGCAGCAGCAGCAACAGGTCAAGACGATGCGGGTGCTGTACAAGCAGAGAAGGACACTTTGCTGCTGCTGCGGCGGCACCTGCAGCTGCAGCAGGAGGATTTGTTATCATTTCAAGGGGCGCTGCAGCAGCAGCAATCTGCTGCTCGTGTCTCTCCCTGGGCTGCCTGCTCTCTACTTGTGCATGCTGCTGCGTCTGCTGACGTAGTGCTGCTAGATCGATTCGGGGAAGCTGCTGCAGGGGTGAGGACACTGCTGCTGTTGCTGCTGCTGCTTCTGCTGCTGCTGCCGTTAGAGGGCTCTGGCGCACGTCCAGTTTAGGGTGCTGCTGTTGCTTGTTTGCATGCCGTGCTTGCTGCTGCTGCTCCGGTTCTATTGCTGGTTTGCTGCTGCTGCTGCTGCAGGTCTGCTGTTATTTGCGCTGTGTTGCTGCTGCTGCTGCAGCTAGGTACTGCATTGGATGAGGTCTTAGGGGCAATAGCAAATGCTTCCGGTGCAACTGCGGAGTCTGTTGGGGGTTCAGAGGCCCGCGATGTCTTAGTGCTGCAGACGCTGCTGCTGCTGCAGCAACTCATCGTAGGAGCAAAGAGACTGCCTCCGTGGAAGCCTGTCTCTCCTGCTCTTGCTGCAGCAGAGACAAGACAGAAAGCGCAGCAGAGACCCATGGATGTTTCAGACCTACAGGTGCTATACACTGCTATCGCTGCTGCTGCTGCTGCTGCGTTTATTACTGCTGCTGCCGCTTCTGCTGCTGCGCATATTGCTGCTGCTGCTGGTTGGTCATGGTAGATAGAACGGCTGTGCGTACACTTTGAACTCCTCTGCCTCGTTGCTGTGGTCTGGATGCTGCTGCTGCTGCTGCTGCTGCCTTTCCGCTTGTCTGCTTGTGCATCTGCCGTTGGCTTTGCTGTTGTTACCGCTGCTGCTGCATATTCTGCTTCTGTAGCATTTTGTGCTGTTGCATATGGTGCGGCTAATCCCGTTAGATTTGCTGCTGGTGGTGTTTCTGCACGTGCATTTGCTGCTGCTGCTGCTGCTGCTGCTGGGTTTGCTGCTGCAGCTTCGGGGTTCATCTTCCGAGTGGCTGTTAGATAGACTTGCAAACGCTGCACGATTTTTATCTGCTGTCTTGGCGTCTACGGAGACTCAGCGATGTTTTGTTTCTCGGGGGGGTATAATGCTGCTGCTGCAGCTAAGTGATAGCAGCTGTCTTCCCCCTGGGTTGCTGCAGCTCTTCCCGCAGCATCCGCTGGTGCATCTGCTGCGGCATGCAGCCCCCTATGACTCTGCGCTGCAGCAACAAGCGGTGCAGCAGCTGCTCCTAGACAGGGCCTTGTGCGCTCTGCAGCGGCTGCTTGCCTTGAAGCAGCGCTGGAGCAAGAAGGGTTTCTGGCCCTGCAGCAAACAGCAGCAGCAGCAACAGCAGCAGCAGCAGCAGCAGGTGCTCCTGCTGCCGGAGCCTTTAAGGGTAGTGCCGCAGAAAGAAAGGAAAGAGCTTATCTTCGCGCTGCATGGCTGCTGCAACTCTTTGAGTTTGCTGCTGCCGCTGCACCGCGAGCTCTGTCAGGCATACGGAACAACCCCTACGAGGACTGCAGCCTTTGCGCAGCAGCAGCAGCTGCAGCAGCTGCTGCTGTTGCACCTCAGCCACCTGCTGCTGCTGTTGCAGCCACTCTTCGCTTGGCTGCTGCAGCTGCTTTATGCATGCGCTTCCCCTGCAGATGGGGAGAGCCCCTCTCTCCTTAACTTGAAGCACAACAGCCACGAACACCCTTCTGTTAGGGCGAGCAGGCTGCTGCATGAGCAGCAGCAGCAGCAGCAGCAGCAGCAGCAGGCCAAGGGACCCGCAGCAGCACCACCCGACCAACCCCTCTCCAACAACGACATGCTCTGGAGCTCACTCGGAGAATTTGCATACTCCTCGCCTCCTCCCCTTCCAGCAGGCTGCAGCAGCAGCAGCGACAGCAGCAGCAGCAGCATCAGCAGCACCAGTGGCAACAGCAGTGCTGCGGTTGCCATGAGCAGCAGCAGCAGCAGCGACAGCAGCAGCAGTGACAGCAACAGCAGCAGCAGCAGCAGCAGCAGCAACGGCGCGGAGAGGTCGTGGTGCAGCGGCTCTGAATTCGTGTCTGAGGAAGCAGCAGACAGCCCAGTTGTGCTGCAGGAGTTGCTTCGTGCCGCTTGCCTCACATGCAGGAACTTCCTCTGCATGGTGAGCTACCTCTTGCTGCTGCTGCTGCTGTTGTTTCTGCTGCTGCTGTTGTTTCTGCTGCTGCTGCTGTTTCTGCTGCTGCTGCTGTGAATTTCCGCTGCTGCACTCCTGCAGGGGGCAGTCGGTCTTTGAGCGGCGTTGGGGATCTGCAGCAAACATGTTTGCCGCTGTTGTGTTTGCTGTTGCTGCTTCTCGTTCTGGTGCTGCTGCTGCTGCTGCTGCTGCAGGTGAGCCGCCAGATCAACGGTGGGGGACTGCGTGTGGGGCGGAAGTCTCCGCCTCAGCAGCAAATTGCTTCGGCTCATCTCTTCCTTGTAGCAGAGACAGCGCGGGGTTTGTTGGATTCCATTCCTGCAGTGCCTTTGCCTGTGCCGCCGCTGCTGCACGCCTTACCCTCTGCTGCTTCTGCTGCAGCAGCAGCAGCAGGCAACAGCAGCAGCAAGGTGCAGTACGTGCTGCCGGAGGCGGCTGCTGCCGCAGCAGATTCTGCTCGTGCAGCTGCAGCAGCAGCAGCAGCACCAACCTCCACTGCAGCTGCTTCCAGCAGCACGGCCGAGATGGACGTAGACGCCAGCAGCAGCAGCAGCAACAGCAGCAGCAGCAGCAGCAGGTTCAGCATTAGGGGGCTTTCAATGGCGCAGTCTCTGTCTTATTTGTCAGACGTCTGCGATGTTCTGTACAAACTGCACGTAGACGAAAAAAACCGCGGAGTCCTCATGACGCTCAGCTTCGATTTATTCCAAAAGGTAAACTGCAGCAGCAGCAGCAGAAGCAGTAGCAGCAACAGCAGCAGCACGTGCTGCACAGGCAGAAACATAGGCTGCAGCAGCAAAGCTGAAGCAGCAGTGGAAGCTGCATCGGCGGCGAGAGCTTTTATATAATATTTATCTATATATATTAGTAGCTGTAGCTGTATGCGGTTTGTTTGATAGAGGCACGAGCAGCAGCAACAGCAGCAGCCGAAGCAGCGTGAGCAGCAGCAGCAGCAGCAGCAGCAAGTTGCTTGTTCTTGTGGTTGATGCAGGTGGGCGGCTTCTCGGCTTTGATGAGGGCCTTCCACTACAGCGCTGCCTGCAACGTGGCTGTGTGCGCGTTGCTGGCTACTCGAGTCTGTTCCTGCTGCAACCCCGTATCCCTGCAGCAGCAGCAGCAGCAGCAGCAGCAGGATCAGCAGCAGCAGCAGCAGCAGAAGGGGGGGGCTGGTATGTTCGACGCGGTGAAGCCATGCGTCCACTTGAGTATTCGGCAAATGCTGCCGCTGTCTTTGTTTGCTGCAATAACCCCAAGTGACCAGCAGCAGGAGCAGCAGGAGCAGCAGCAGCAGCAGGAGCAGCGGGAGGCTGAGGCTCGCCGTGAAGCATTTGTTGAGTGGGTGGAAGCAGCAGCAGCAGAAATTGCTGCTGCTTGCCCCTCAGTGGCGCAGCTAATATACTTCCGCAATACTGCAGCAAGACAGCTTCAAGGATGTCTGGCGTATATAGACAGAGTAACGTCGTGGAAGAGGTGTATGAACTCAGCCTTCACCCCACAAGCTTTCAGGTAAACACGCTGCTGCTGCTGCTGCTGCTGTTGCTGCTGCTGCTGCTGTTGCTGCTGCTGCTGCTGCTGCTGTTGCTGCTGCTGCTGCTGCTGATGGTGGTGCTGTTGCTGGTGGTGGTGGTCCTGCTGTTGTTGCTGCTGTTGCTGCTGCTTCTGTTGCTGCTGATGGTGGTGCTGCTGCAGATGGTGGTGCTACTGCTGGTGGGGGTGATGCTGATGCTGCTGCTGCTGCGGGGGATGCTGATGCCGCTATTTCTTGTCTTGCTGCTGCTGGTGCTGCAAATTCTGGTGCTGCTGTTGCTGCTGCTTCTGCCGATTCTCCTGCTACTCCTCCATCTTATGCTGCTGCTGCAGCGCCGGTGGTTATTCGCTGGTGTTGCTGATGTTTTCGGTTCTGCTGCTGCTGAAGCTCCTGCTGCTGCTGCAGCTTCTGCTGCTGCTGCGGCGAATTCTTCGCCTGCTGCAGCGGCAGCGAGTGCCTTATTTCAATGCTGCTGCTGCTGTTGCTGCTGCTGGTGCTGCTGCAGGTACTACCCTCGGCCCTCATACTTCGAGCCGATGGAAGACGATGCCGCGCAGTCTGCTACATCTGCAGCAGGAGGAGCAGCAGGAGGAGCAGCAGCAGCAGCACCTAGTGCCGGAAGCACTCCGGCTCTCGTTGACATCGACATGGAGAGCAGCAGTAGCAGCAGCAGCAGCAGCAGCAGCAGCAGCAAGCTGATGACTTACTCTGCTTCTCTCGAATCGTTAAGTATGGCCTACTCCGATTTGCACGAATTATGTTGGGCCGACGGCGGGCAGCTGTCTGCTGCTTGGAGTTCTTCTGCAGCAGCAGCGCTAGAGTCTGAGGAGCAGCAGCAGAAGCAGCAGCGGCTGCAGGAGTTGCTGCTGCAGATCATCGTACACCCTGATATTGCATGCATTGATGTAGCAGGTATGCTCCGTACTGCAGGCTGCGAAGCAGCAGCGCATGCATACGTCTGGTGGGGCTTTGCTGCTGGGTGTGGAGCCCCCCTTAGCGAGCGGGAGGCGCAGCAGCACTTCCCTCCTCATAAGCATTCTGCTGCTGCTGCTGCAGCGGCTTCTGAGCTGCCGAACAACCCATGCAGCAGCCTCTCCGATGCAGCAACAGCAGCAGCAGCAACGCAAGAACCTGCTGCTGCTGCTGCTGCTCTCGCACGCTCCAGTGGCGCAAGCCACCGAGCGAGCAACGCAGCAGCCTCAGCTAAGCGGAGAGGCAGCAGCCGCAGGGGACAGCAGCAGCAGCAGGTGCAGCGGCAGCAGCAGCATCACCACGGGGCAGCTGCTGCAGCAGAAGAGCCAGAGCTCGACAGCACTGAGGTGTCTACCCAGCTGCAGGTGCTTATTGCTTCAACTCTGCAGCGGACCATCCTCTTCTTCCCCCGCATCTTCTTCCACCTTCTGGACACTCAGGTAGGGTTTAGGGTTTAGGGTCTAGGATTTAGGATTTAGGGTTTAGGGCTTAGGGTTTGCAGTTTGGGCCTAGGTTTACTGCATGCCACGCCACAGAGGGCTGCGATGGCTGTCAGCAGCAGTAGCACCAGCAGCAGCAGCAGTTAGTTGCTCAGCAGCAGCAGCAACACGCCGTACATGCAGCTTTGGGTGTATGTGCAGACACCGCAGCGTCGGCAGCAGCTGCGCGGCGTGTATGCGGAGACAGGCGATGGTTTGGTGCAGCAGCAGCAGCGCGCGGTGGTCTCTGGTGGGGGTTCGGTTGCGGCAGCAGCGGCTGCTGCAGCTGCGGCTGCAGCGGCTGCGATCCAGCAGCAGCAGCAGCAGCAGCTTCTGCTGCTGCAGCAGCAGGTTGAGCAGCTTGTTGAGATGGGCTTCAACAGAGACGACGCCCAGAGAGCAGTTCAGGCATCAGGCGGCAGAGGTGTAGAAGCAGCAATGGATTATCTGTTGGAGATGCAGCGGCAGCCGCAGCAGCAGCAGCAACAGCAACAGCAGCAGCAGGAAAGCAGCAACGCAGGCAGCAGCAACGACGCCACAGCACCCGATCCGCAGGAAGCAGCTGCCTCTGCACCTGCTTCTGCGTCGCAGGACGCGAGTGCAGCTGCAGCCCCAGACAGCAGCAGCAGCAACAACAATGGTAGCACAAGCAGCAGCGGCAGTAGCAACAGCAGCAGCGGCAGCGCGAGTGCAGAGGAAGACTCAGCGGCTGCTGCTGCGGGCGGAGCAGCAACACCGCCAGCAGCACAGTCGCCTTCCCCAGCAGCATCCGAGGCGGCAGCAGCAGGAGCAGCAGGAGCAGCAGGAAGCTCTCCATTGGATGCTGCAGCAGCAATCTTGCAGGAGGGGCTCAGGTGTTCCGGCTCGCGACCTCTATCATCGGGGGCAGTACGTACTGCTCTCTCTTCTGCTGCTGCTGCAGCAGCAGAGCTGCCGCTGTCTCCTCCCTCGCTGCTGCTCGCAGGAGACGGCGAAGTTCGCTGGACATGCGCGCTGCTGCGGGAGCAGCTGCAGCAAGCAGCACTGTGGGGTCCCCCCCCTCAGTCTTTGCTGCACTCGCTGCAGCGCGTTGCAACCAGCAACAACCCGCGCATGGCAAGACGCATGCAGAGCGACAACTCCAGCAGCAGCAGCAGCAACAGCAGCAGCAGCAGCAACACAGGCGAAACACCAGCAGCACTAGGAGGAGCGCTTGGTGCTGCAGCTGGGCAGGAAAGCAACCAGGACGTATGGGCGGACCCGCCTCAGCAGCGGCAGGGACAGCAACAGCAGCAGCAGCAGCAGCAGCAGGAGGCGGAGCAGCAGCCCCACTCTGGGTCCACGCCGGCGCGGGAGCCAACTGAGCTGGAGCTGCTGCTGCGCTCTGTAGACGAGGAGATGGTGCAGCAGCAGCAGCAGCAGCAGGTGAAGCTGCCGCCGGTGTGTAACGGGCGGCCGAACGAGGAGCAAGACCAGCAGCAGGAGCAGCAGGAGCAGGAGCAGCAGCAGCAGCAGCAGCAGCAGCGGGTGCTGCACGGGCACTTCAGCGACGCCTTCGCCCTCGCCCTGGGGGCCCTGCTGCGCCGTCGGCTGCTGGGAGACTTAATATCTACTGCATGCGCTTCTCCTTTGGGTGTCCCTGGCTTATGTGAAGTCTTCTTGAAGCTTGTCTGCTCCTCCTGCGACCTCAGACCGCAGCCGCAGCAGCTGCAGCAGCAGCAGCAGCAGCAGCAGCAGAAGGAGCAGCAGAAGGAGCAGCAGAAGCAGCAGCAGGGGAGGAAAAGCACTGCAGCAGCAGCAAGAGATGGAGATGCGGCAGCAACGGCAGAGGAGCTGCAGCCGATGCGTGTTGAAGGGGAAGAATCTGCAGCAGCAGCAGCAGCTGCTGCTGCTGCGTTGCAGCAGCAGCTATATCCATGGGAGCTCCCTGAGAGGAGCAGCAGCAGCAGGGTCTCGCGACAGCTGGGGTGCATGGAAAGAAATGCTGCTGCTGCTTGCTATATGCTGCTGCGCCGCCTTGTTTGCCTGCGGGGAGCCGCGCAGCACATCCTAAAGGCTGAGCCAACCTTAATGGGTGTGCGGGTCCCAGCAGCAGCAGCAGCAGCAGCAGGAGCAGGAGGAGCAGCAGCGGCAGCAGCTCAGCGGAGCGACCTGCATAGGGCTGTGGGAGTGTATATGTGCATGCGACTGCAGCAGCAGCTTTATTGCTGCAGCTTCTTCATGGCGCATCTGCTGCACCGGAGGTTTTGCTGGAAGGATATGCTGCTGCAGTGCGCGGAGGCAGCAGCAGCAGCATGCGAACCGGGCAGCGCAGCAGCAGCAGCAGCAACAGCAGCAGCAACACACCCCATCTCCCTCTTCTCTTCTCTCATATGCTCCTATGCCTCAGCAAACGTTCATTCTGCAGCAGCAGCAGCAGCAGCAAACCAGCCGATGCTGACGGACTCCAAGGGCTGGTATCAGTTCCCCGAGATGCTCGACTGCAGCAGCGAAGCAGCAGCAGCTGCAGCCCCCAAAGCAGCAGCACAAGCAGCAGCAGCAGCAGCAGCAGCAACAAAGGCGTCTGCCTTGCTGCCGTTGCCGGGCTGGTGTCTCCTTAACTATGCCTCAACGGGCGCTGTAGAGCTGCAGGAGCTGCGTGTTGCTGCTGCAGTACCGAAGTATGGTTTGCTGCGGCTGGTGGCTGTGGAGGGTGTGGAGGCGCTGCAGCAGCAGCTGCAGCAACAGCAGCAGGGACTCGCAGCAACAACTGCTGCTGTCGTCTTAGATCGCCCCGCAGGCCTCTCTGCTCCTGCTGCTGCTTACTTAGCTCCGTTTGTCTCTCCTTCGCTTCTTTGTATAGAGGAGTTGATGGGTATGTATTTGCTGCAAGACACAGCAACACCGGCAGACGCGCAGCAGCATGAGAACTCCAGCAGCAGCAGCAGCAGCAGCAACAGCAGCAGCAGCAGCAATGCCGCAGGGGAGACGTTGACGTCTGCCGTCAGCGCCTCTGTTGCAGCACTCAACAGCAGCAGCAACGCCAGCAGCACCAACGACAATAGTAGCAGCAGCAACAGCAGCAGCAACCCGACGACGCAGCCCCTCGCAAGCACCGATGGCCAGCGGGATTCTTCTGAGCCAACCAGCAGCAGCAGCAGCAACGGCAGCAGCAGCAGCAGCAGCAAAGAGGAGCTGGCTGTGTCTGGGGGTGCTGCGGACTTGGGGTATGATGAGTTGTTACGTTCATTTACTGCAGCAGAGCAGCGACAGCTGGTTGCTGCTTGTTTGGATTTGCTGCTGCTGTTTCCAGCAGCAGATGGAGATGCTGTTCTTGCTGCTCTTCAGTTGCTGCGGCGTCTGACTTCAATCTACAGCAACGCGTTGATGCTGCTGCTGCACCAGCCCAAAGGCCGCTACAGGGCAGTGCCCACGTCCCCTCAGCAGCAGCAGCAGCAGCACCAGCAGCAGCACCAACACCAGCACCAGCAGCAGCACCAGCAGCAGCCGTTGGGGTGGGGCTTAGGCGTGCTGCTGCGGCTGCCTCGCACCAGCAGCTGCAGCGGCTTGGTAGCTCTCCTATGCGCAATTATAACAAATGTGCTGGAGGAACCGTCGCTTATTGCTGCTTGTGTAGAGAGGGGTTTGAGGGTGGCATTTGCTGCAGGCAGCAGAATGGCTCTGCAGACGCATCTCAGGGTACGCTCCACCTGCTGCTGCTGCTGCTGCTGCTGCTGCTGTTGTTGTTGTTGTTGTTGTTGTTGTTGGTATTGTTGCTGCTGCTGTTGTTATTGCTGCTGCTGTTGTTGTTGCTGCTGCTGTAGTTGTTGCTGCTGTTGCTGCTGCTGTTACTGTTCCTCTTGTCGCTACGGGTGCTGCTAGTGCTGCCGAATGCTGCTGATGCTGATGCAGTTGCTGTTGCTGCTGCTGGCTCTTGTTGGTGTTTGCGGTTCTCCTGCTGCTGGTGTTGCTGTGCGGTTGTTGGGGTTGCTGCTGCTGCTTCCTTGCTGCAGCTGTCGGTGGTGGTGTCCTCGCGTTGTTGCGAGTAGGGCTCATTTACTGCTTGTCGCTCTTTGCTGCTCTTGCTGCTGATGCTGCTGCTGCAGGTGCACGGAAGCCCACCGCCTGGAGAGACGCTCACCCCGTTGCTGCCCGTTGACTCTGTCTTGAAGTCTTTGGGGCCTTTGCTGGCTCGCAACCCCTCGCTGGTGGAGCAGGTGCTGAGTTGCTGCTGCAGCATTCACAAGCAAGTGCTGCAACAGCCGCAGCAGCAGCAACAGGAGGAGGAGAAGGAGCAGAAGGGGCGGGATCAGCAGCAGAAAGAGCAGCAAGACGAGCAGAACAGCACCGACAAAGCTGCTCTCGAGCAGACACACGACGCTTCTTCTCCCGCTGCTGCTGCTGCAGCAGCAGCAGCAGATGATAGACCTGCAGCAGACAGCCAAGCACCACCATCAAGCAGCACCAACAACAGCAGCAACGACAACGGCACAAGCACTGCAGCAATGGCCGAGGACGTGGTCCCCGCAGCAGCAGCAGCAGGCGCTCAAGATGATACCAACGGCAGCAGCAACAACGGCAGCAGCAACAGCAGCAGCAGCAGCAGCAACGACACTAGCAGCGTTGTCCCTCGCCAGTTTTACCCCAGCAGCATCTTCGTGGGCCCTAAGGCCGGCTATCTGTTTGGAAGGGGCTCAAAGGGATTGGGCTATTACTACTGCAGCAGCAGCAACAGCAGCAGCAGCAGCAGCGGACGCACGTGGTGCTGCAGCGACAAATCCTTCCAGGAGGTTTTGCTGCTTGGATGGCTAAATGAAGACAAGCGGCAGCAGCAGCAGCAGCTGCTGCTTCAACAGCAACAGCACTTGCAGCAGCAGCAACAACAGCAGCATCAGCGGCCGCAACAACAGCAGCCACAGCAACAACAGCAGCGCCAGCCTCAGCCAGCGCAACAACAACAGCAAGAGCAGCAGCTTTCGCAGCAACCCTCTCAGCAACAACAGCATCCATCGCAGGCGCAGCAGCAGCCGCAGCAGCAGCAGCAGGCGCAGCCGCAGCAGCAGCTGCAGCGCCGGGTGCGGCGGCTGCTGCAGGCAGCATCGAAGCCTCCGCTTGTGGGGCCCGTAGTGCTGTCAGTGCTCGTAGACCACTTGGTGTTGCTGCTGAGTGTACACGCAGCTACTCTTCCTGCTCCAGCAAACAAGCTGCCGCAGGCGGAGCTGCTGCAGCAACAGCAGCAGCAGCAGCAGCAGCAGGAGTGGCGGCAGCTGTCGGACGTGGAGCGGGGCTTGCATGCACAGCAGCAAAAGCCTATCTTTCCTTTTGTTGTTACTGCAGAGCGGCTGCTGTATATCCTTACGCAGCTGATGTCTCTCTTCCCCCATATGCTGCCGCTGCTGCTTAAGCCAATCACTGTTGGGGCCCCTGGACCGGCATTGCATGCGCAGGACAGCAGCAGCAGCGTCAGCAGCAACAGCAGCAGCGGCAGCAACAGCAGCAGCAGCAGCAGTGCAACAGCCGCCACTGCGCAGTCTGCAGGCCGCGGGGCGGGCCGTATGAAACTCAAGCAGCAGCAGCAGCAGCACCAGCTGCAGCAGCAGCAGCAACAGGCGAATGGCCCGAAAGCCGAAGGGCAGAAGCACCAGCAGCACTTGCACTTGCAGCAGCTGCAGCAGCAGCAGCACCTGCATGCAGAGCCTCGGCTGTATATGGCTGAGGCCGCCCCGTGGCCTTTCGTCTCCACTTCCCCTGATTTGCTGCGGTGTACAGGCAGCGACGTCCGCATGCTGCTGCAGCACGGAGCGAAGGATCAGCAGCTGCAGCAGCTGCACCAGCATCAGCACCACCAACAGCACATGCAGCAACAGCAGCAGCAACAGCAGCAGCAGCAACAGCAGCAGCAGAACTGCGGAGGGCAGCAACGCCTCTCCGTTGTCGATGTGCTGCTGCAGGAGGTGCTGCCGCGGCTGCTGTCAATCTCTCTTGCGTGCAGCCCCCAGGTGGTTGGTGCGCAGCAGCAGCAGCAGCAGTGGACGCTGCTGCTGCAGCAGCGCAAGGCTGCAGCAGCAATGCTGCAGCAGTTTTCAAACTTGCTGGCTACGATGGGCAGCAGCAACGCGGAGATTCGGCTGGTGCTGATCCGTCACGTGGTGGCTTTGCTGCGGGTCGCGCGCGGCCGCACTGCAGCAGCAGCAGAAGATTACAGCAGCAGCAGCAGCATCTCTGCAGACGCTCGGGAGGCCCTCAAGGGAGGCGAGCTCTTCGATACAGGCGTTGTTTGCGTCTTAGTAACGCTGCTGCAGCGGCTGCTGGCAGCAAGCCCCCCCATGCTGCCGATGCTGCCTCAGCAGCAGAATCCCAAGGCAGCAGCAGCAGCAGCAGCAGCACCAACTGAAGAGACACCAGGGTGTACAGACAGCTCGCGCCCCCCGAATCATCCCAGGCCAGACGGAGACGGAGGAGATTGCGGAAGCGCAGATGTCAACGCCCAGCAGCAGCAACGAAGCAGCAGCAGCAGCAGCAACAACAGCAACATCCATAGCAGCAGCAGCAGCAGCAGCGGCAGCAGCAGCAACAGCACCAACAGCAGCGGCAACAATAACACTAGCAGCGGAGGACGGGCTCGAAGCAGTGGTAATGCAAGCCACACCAACAGCAACAGCAGCGGCAGCAGCAGCAGCAGCAGCAGCAGCAGCAGCGGGAGCGGTGGTGGGGATGAAGGCGACGACGGAGACCCTCCTCACAACAGCAAGGGCTCAGGGCGTTGCGCTGAGTATTCGGATGCTGCGGATCAGCAACAGCAGCAGCAGCAGCAGCAGCAGGCGCGGCTGCAGCAGTGTATGCTACCTAAAGAGCAGCGGCAGCTACGGGAGCTGCTTGCTGGTTTGCTGCTGCATTTAAACCTACAAGCTGAAGACAGCCATGCTGTTGCTACAGGCATCATTCGGTGTATGCTGCAGCTTACTTCGCCTCCAAGTGTACATTTGCTAGGTCTTGAGGGCAAGCAGCAGCAGCAGCAGCAGCAGCAGCAGCAGCAGGGAGGCACCGGGCGGGCGTCTCCGGGTGCAGGCAGCGGCTTCTCAGGAGAGGAATCTGGGGGCTCTGCAGCAGCAGCAGCAGCAGAAGCAGCAGCAGATGAGGAGGAAGAAGACAGCGCAGATGATGATGAACTCGATGGCGAAGATGATGATGAAATTGATTTCGAGTTGGTTGTTGATGGAGACAGCGACAGCAGCAGCAGCAGCAGCAGCAGCAGCCTGGATGAGGACGAGGAGCAGCAGGAGGGAGACGGCGTTGATGGGGGCCGTTTCTCTGCTGCTGCAGCAGAAGCAGCAGCAGCAGCAGCAACAGCAGCGCTAGGCCTGGGTTCGGGCGCTTCCGATGCCGCTGCTGCTGCTGCTGAGCGCGCAGAAGCAGCAGCAGCAGCAGATGAGGGATCATCAGGAGCAGCAGCAGAAGACGAAGGTGGTGAGCACGACCACGAAGGGCCTGACGAAGATGAAGATGAAGATGATGAAGATGAAGATGAAGACGATGAAGATGAAGATGAAGATGATGATGAAGATGATGAAGGGTTTGCTGAGCTCTCCGTCTTAGATGGACTCGGAGACGAAGACGAAGACGACTCCCAGGAAGATGAAGAATATGGAGGTACCATTTGCTGCTGCTGCTGCTGATGCTGCTGATCATTTTGTGCTGCTACTGTTTACGCTGCTGCTGCGCTGCTGCTGCTGCTGCTGGCTATGCTGCTGATTATTATGCTGTTGCTGTTTATGCTGTTGCTGCTGTTGTTGCTCGTGCAGCTGCTACTGCTGTTGCCGTTGCTGTTTTTGTAGCCGTTGACATGCAGCTGTTGCTGCTGCTTGCGTTGCTGCTGCTGCTGGTGTTTCAGCGTGGCTTCAGCTGCGTTTGATTGAAATTTATATTCCTTTCAATCTTTGCTTTTATTTTAGTATAATTTATTTTTTATATATTATATATAATAATACATTTTAATTATTTTTTCTGTTGGGGTGTATATGCTCCGCGGATGTAGTGCCTTACTGCTGCAGCGGCATCCATCTCTATTTATAAATATTTATTTGTTTTTCTTTTTTTTATTTGTAGACAACAGCGAAGAAGAAAGTGAAGGGCCTGGGGGAGCGGGAGGTGTGGGGAGCGGCGGCTTCCTTGGGGATCGTCTCCCGCACGAGGTGGAATTCGATCCCGACTCCCGCGGGGGTATTGCTTTAGGCAGCGAAGATGCAGCAGCAGAAGTGCTGCAGCACGAAGAAGATGAAGATGATGATGATGATGATGATGATGACGATGATGATGCTCCTAGAATTCGGGTTGGCTCCCACTCTATATGGCTTAGGGTTTAGGGTTTAAGGTCTAGGGTCTAGGGTTTAGGGTTTAGGGTCTAGGGTTTAAGGTTTAGGGTTTAGTATTACTTTTTTGTGCTTTGTTTGTCTACAGGAACGAGGAGAAATCGATTATATGGGGGGCCCTGAAGATGATGAACTCGAAGCAGCAGATTTAGAAGAAGTAGCGGGGTCTGCTTTGCTGTCTCACCCCTTCTTACCGGATGCAGTTGTTGCTGCTGCAGATGATCCCGTGCTGCAGCCTCCTGCTGCAGCAGCTACTGCAGCACCAGCAGCACCACCACCAGCAGCACCACCGCAGGTACCCGACACCAACCTTGCTTCCCCTTCTACAAGAACAGCACCAACAACACCAGCAGCAGCAACTGCAGCAAATGCTGCTGCTCCATCTGATGCAGACGGCGCACCCATGGAAGCGGATGGGCCGCAAGACGCCACACAGCAGCAGCAGCAGCAGCAGTCTGCAGCAGATGCTTCTTCTTCTGGGTCAGCGACGACTGCTACGACCTCTGCAACAACAGCAGCGGAAAGCCCTGAGCAGCAGCAACAGCAGCAGCAGCAGCAGCAGCAAGGCGCGACGACCTCTTCTTCAGCGCCTTCCAGTAGCAGCGGCGCCCCTTCTGCAGCAGCAGCAGCAGCTGACGCAGCAACAGCAGCAGCAGAAGCGAGTGGATCGGGGCCCACTTCGGAAGGCGGAGGTTCTTCAGCAGGCGGTCAGCGGCGGGCCCCACGCAGCGGTGGCACCAGGAGCAGCAGCAGCAGCAGCAGCAGCAGCAGCAGCAGGGCAGCTGGGGATCGCGGAAGGACCTCTACTTCAGGCTTGCGGGGAAGCAGGGAAGGTCGGTTTGCTTTTGCAGACTTAGGCCCTGATGGTTTTGTTTTAAATGAAGAAGACGGAGGGTTAGGGTTAGGGGGTGGCGGGTCTGAAGGTTCTGGTGTGCCTGCAGCAGCAGCAGCAGCAGCAGCAGCAGCAGAGTCCGTCAGCCTCATCAGCTCGGCGCTGCAGCGGGAACCTCGAAGCTCCTTCCGCCTGCATATAGACTTTGCAGGCTTAGGAAGTGCTGATGATGCTGCAGCACTCCGTACAGTTATTCAAGATGCTGAGGAGAGAGGCATAACAATTGCTCCTCTTGCTGCTGGGTATGCTGGAGGGGGGGTGTCTCGGCGTCTAGGGGCTGCTGCTGCAGCAGCAGGGGCCCCCGCAGCAGCAGCAGCAGGGGCTGCTGCTGCTGCTGGAAGCAGCAGCACCAACGAAGATCTACTTGCGGCACCTCCACCGTCACCCCCTGATGCAGATCTGCTGCCGCCTTCAGAGCATCCTCTCTTTTTGCTGTGCTCGAGGCCAGCTGCTGCTTCAGTGATGCAGCTAGGTGGCAGCAGCAGCAGCAGCAGCAGCAGTAGCAGCAGCAACCCATTCGCTCTCTTCAGCAGCGCTGGTGGAAACGTTGTTGCTGCAACTGGTGCAGCAGCAAACATCGGAGAGAGGCTTCTAGACTCCTTGTTTGAAGACCTTGCAGGAGGCATCTTTAGGCCTGCTGCAGCAGCAGCAGCACGAAGACAAGGGCAGCAACCGCGGCTGCTGCAGCAGCAGCTGCAGCAGATTCGGCAAAACAGAGAGCAGGAAGCTGCAGCAGCTGCTGCAGTTGCAGCTGCTGCCGCCACGGGAAGGCAGCAGCAGCCACCCATTGGCGATCTCGGCTCTGCTGTCTCGGTGGCAGCAGCAGCAGCAGCAACAGCAGCAGCAGCAGCAACTGCAGCGCAACACATGCTCTCAGCCTTTGTTACCGATCGTCTCTCTACCCGTACTATCAATCAAATAGATGTCGAACCGGCGCCGCTTCAAGCCTGTCCATCGCCCCATGCAACAGCTGCTGCAGACACTGCTGTTGCTACTGCAGCAGCAGCAGAGGGAGGTGCAGCAACTGAAGCTGCAGCAGACGAGGCTGCAGGCACTGACGCTGCAGCTGACGCTGCAGCAGCTGCAGCAGCATCGCAACCTTCAGCTCCTGAGGCGATTGTGGAGGACCGCCCCACAGATCAAGCAGCAGCAGCAGAAACAGAAGCAGCAGCAACAGCAGCAGCAGCACCTTCAGAAGGAAGTCATGGTACTCAGCAGCAGCAACAGCAGCAGCAGCAGCAAAATACCGTCGACTCGTCGTCCGCAACGAATGGGGCTGCAGCCTCTCCTGAACCTCCAGCAGAAGCAGCAGCAGCTCCAGCAGCAGCAGCGCCAGCAGCAACAGCAGATGATGAAAGTTCAGCAGCATCTGCAGCAGCAACAGAGGGAGGTGCAGCATCAGCAGCGCCTGAAGGAGGTGCAGCAACAGCAGAAGCAGAAGCATCAGCGGACGGAGAGTCTATGGATATAGACACAGGCGAAGCGCCTCGTGGGGAGACCAGCAGCAGCAGCAGCAGCGGCGACAGCAGCAGCACAAGTAGCAGCAGCAGCAGTGACAGCAGCAGCAGCAGCAGCAGCAGCAGCAGCGATCCAGCGCTTGCGTCGCTTGCATGCGCTTTAGGATTGACTGAAGCATCTCTGTTAGAAGCAGCAGGGGTTGACCCTTCATTCCTTGAAGCCCTACCCCCAGATCTGCGGCAAGAGATACTGCAGCAGCAGCTGCGGCTACTGACGATTGAAGCTGTTGAGATGCGCAGGGCAGCAGCAGCAAGGCCTGCTGCTGCTGCTGCTCCTGCTGCAGCTCCAGCAGAAACGGCAGCACAGGCAGAAAATGCAGCAGCAGCGCCTCAAGAGACCGACGCAGCAGCAGGAACTGCTACTGCCTCGGACGCTCCACAGCAGGCTGCTGCTGCTGCTCAGGGGGCAGCAGCAGCAGCAGATACTTCTGCTGCGGCAGAGACTGCGGGTGCTGAAGAGCAGCAGCAGAGGAGCTCTAGCAGCGGAGAGGGAGAAGAAGCAGCAGGATCAGCAGCAGCAGCCCCAGCAGCAGCAGCAGGAGACTCTGGGGGACCGGAAGCTGCAGCGGACTCCGCAGCAGCAGCCGACTCTGCAGCAGCAGCAACAACAACAGCAGCAGCAGCAACAGAGGAGCAGCAGCGGCCTCGGCTGCGAGACCTGCCGCTAGATTTATTGAATGTGCTTCCTGCTGCAGTTCGCCAGGCAGCAGTTGCAGGCTGCCGAGACCGCGACAGCGAAGAAGGTGCTGCAGCAGCAGCAGCAGCAGCAGGACCTGCAGCAGAATTCGATAATGCTACTTTCTTAGCAACCCTCGAACCTGCATTGAGGCAAGAAGTGCTGCTAACAGCAGATGCTGCTGTTCTTGAAGCACTGCCACGGGAGCTGCGCGTAGAAGCAGCGCTGCTGCGGGAGCGAGCGGTGCAGCGGCAGCAGCAGCGGCAGCAGCAGCAGCAGCAGCAGCAACGCGCCGCAGCAGCTGCTGCTGCAGCAGCAGCAGCAAACCTGGGCTCCGGTGTGGGGCCGGGCGTAGTTGCGTCTTCTGTAGGGGAACGCCCTAGCAGAAGCAGCCGCGCTGCGGCAGCAGCAGCAGCAGCAGCAGCAGCAGGTTCATCCCTGCCTGCTGCCTTCGTTGATGCTTCGCTCGCTCTCTTCGGCGGCTTAGACAACCGCTGGGGGGCCCTGGGGCCCCAGGCAGCAGCAGCAGCAGCAGCAGCAGCTGGCAGCAGATTGCTGGGAGTGCAGACCTCCGCTTTGCTTCCGCGCAGCATCAGGCTGGGGTTAAGGGAGGCTCTTATGGATGACTTTGCATTAAGAGAAGGAGAGGGGGGCCGAGCTGCTGCTGCTGCAGCAGCAGCAGCAGCTGCTGCTGCTGCAGCAGGAGATGCAGCGGCCTCCCTGGTCGCTGCGCGCGGTATGTTGCAGAACTCAACAGCAGCAAGAAACGCAGCAGCAGCAGGCGCGGCCTCTGGAGCAGCAGGTGGTGCTGGTGCTAGAGGCCCCTCTGTCTTCGCAGGTGCAGCAGAGGAGTTGCTGCTGCTGCCGAGTGAACGGCTGCTGCGGGCCCCAGCCTCTCTATCAGGTCTCTCTGGGGCCCCTTCTTTTTCTACGCTTCCGAGTATTGTTTCCTTAATAAGCAGGGGAGGCAGCAGCAGCAGCAGCAGCAGGATGAGGGGCCCCCAGGGCCCCTCCGCGTACACCGCAGCCCTTGCAGCAGCAGCAGAAGGTTCCCCAGACTTCCTCACGTTGCTGCTTCGAGAGGGTCCCCCAGTTGCTGCTGCTGCAGGCCACGGTGCAGCAGCAGCAGCAGCAGGAGGCCCCGCGTTGTCAGACGATCTCTGGGTAGGAATTCTTTCAGCAGCAGGTGGAGGCCCTGGGGGCCCCCACGGGTCTTCGTGGGGCCCCCCTGGTGGAGGTGGGGGCCCCGGGGGGCCCCCAGGAGGCGGGGGGGCCCCAGGGGGGGGCCCTGGGGGCCCCCACCGGGGGCCCCTACGAGGGTGTGGGGCCCCCTATGGAGGTGCAGCAGCAGCAGCAGCAGCACTTGAAGGACCTCCTCTAAGTATAACAGGCCTGATGGGTGTTTGCAGGGTTTTGTTTTTATCGAAAGGAGTCAACAAGCGTTTGCTTTTCTTGCTGCTGTTCTCCATAGCTGCTTCGCATGCAGATACACGAGATGTGCTGCTGCTGCTGCTGGTATATATCTGCTGGGGGGTTATCCCTGAATGTTATACAAGCTTAAAGCCCTCAGCAGCAGCACATGATGCCTTAAAGTGTTTAGGGCTGCCTCCAGTGCCCGTGCTGCTGCCAGTTGAGGGTGCTTCCTCCCCCCAGCAGCAGCAGCAGCAGCAGCAGGGACAGCAGCAGCAAGGGGGAGCAGGGGGGTTCCTTTATGAACGCTTCGCTCTAGGAAGTGCAGCAGCAGAACGGGTGCTCGAGCAGCTTCGAAGCCTCCTCACGGTGCTGCCGCATGCTGCTGCAGCATTTTGTAGGCCGATGCCCCACCCTCGCTCTGTCTGCTTCCAGGACCTCCTCAGGCTGCAGCAGTGCAGCAGACACTCCAGCAGCAGCAGCAGCAGCAGCAGCGGTCAACACCAGCAGCAGGCGCAGCAGCAGCAGCAGCAGCAGGGAGATGTTAAAAGTGAGGCGCCACAACCGGCGGGGGTGACGCGACAGCAGGACCAGCAGCAGCAGCAGCAGCAGCAGCAGCAGCAGCAGCAGCAACACCAGCAAGAAGGTGCAACAGAATGGGGAGAGGACCTGGCTCACGAACTGCGCCGCAAAAAGAAACGCAGGGAACCTACCAGCAGCAGCAGCAGCAGCAGCAGCAACAGCAGCAGCAGCAGCACCAGCAGCAGCAACAGCAGCAGCAGCAGCAGCAGCAGCAACGCCACAGCCACCACCACGAAGGATGAAGCTGCAACCGATGCGGTGCAGCAGCAGCCAAAGGGGCCCCCAGAAGAACCAGAAGACACAGAATACCTTATCAATGTTCTGATGGTGAGCTGCTTATGCTGCTGCTCCTAGTATTGTTGTTGCTGTTGCTGCTGCTGCTGCTGCTGCTAGTATTGTTGTTGCTCCTGCTGCTGCTGCTAGTGTTGCTTTTGCTGCTGATGCTGTCTTTACTTTAGTTTGCTAGTATTATTCTTACATTCTCGCAGCTTCTTTTTTATCTATTGAGAAATGAGCAACAGCTAGAGCTGCAGCAAAAGCAACAGCAGCAGGAAGACCAGAAGCAGCAGTTTGCAGCAGCCGTTGCTGCGTGTTTGAGTGATGTGTGTTTGCTGCTGCAGCAACTAACAGCTACTTCTCTATTTCAAACTTCGCCTCGGCATATGGCGCATCTTCTTGCTGCAATACATTTGCTGGTCAGCGGCTCTAGCAGCAGCAGCAGCAGCAGCAGCGGCAGCAGC